TAATTATTTCAATCCTGTTCTTTTTTTGGAACATTTACTCTGTTATTAATTAAAGTTATGCATATTTTTAAACTAATTACTAAATGAGATCAATTATTTTAAAAAATCTCATAATTTGATGCACAAATTAATAATTAATATTAAAAAAATTTCAAATATTACGCCTATTTACATTAATTTTATTTATATTATGCATTCACTATCTCAGTGAATTCTATTTAGCATAGTTAATTGTTGGATAAATAATTTTTGTTATGTATTCATTAAATTGTTAAATCCTTATTGTTGATGGCTATTTTTCATGTCATAATACTAAAAATTATTCTTATTGATTCAATCAATTTTTTGGGATTTATTTGATTGATTTTTTTCAGCATATTCTGCAAAAGTCTCTAGATAAATTTGAAATTCAAATTTTTTGGTGCATATAAAATGTTTCAGACAAATGCAATAATTTTAATAAATGGATAATAATTCATAAAAATTGTTTTGGTTGCATAATAATTCCAAAATTAATTTAATATTTTAAAAAAAATAAAAATGAAGTTAATTGCAGTAAGCAGAAGTAATGCCGAAAATGTACCAAAATTGGCATCGAAAATTTGCATATTCAAATAATTTGTGCTGAATATTTAATTTTGATAAAATGTCAATGAATGATTTTCTGGTTCAACGTCTTTTGGGTCTTGGAACATCTATGGAATCTGATTCAGGGACTTCTACTGATCAGACTTTATCACTGATGACATGGCCGAAATTGCAATCAGGCTTGCAAAATTTTTATAGTAGCAATAATAGTATTACAAATTCAATAATGGATTACTCAACCGCATTACAGTTAATGCAATTACAAGTGTTTTGTCAGCCAAGTTTCCTGAATACTTTTTTGAGCCAAATGGCTGCTGTAGGATTAGCAGTTAATAATGATCATAACAAGGTATTATCACTTCATATCAAGTACATCATTATCAATCAAAATTAATCATTTTTCAATTATTTTTTTTGATTTGTTTAAATTTATCACTCGAGTTTATATCTGATTGACTTATATAACTTTTATAGCAGAAACAAATACTGATAATTCAACAATTCCATATATTAATTGCATTAATTAATTTAAGATCATAAGTTAACAATTTAAGGTCATAAGTAAACAAAAAATCAACTTAAGGTCATAGGTTAACATTAATGTATATTTGTGAAAATTTGAAAGGCAATGTTAAGTAATACAAAAAAATATTTGAAACGACTCGAATATTTGATAATTATTTGTACGATCACAGCTTTATTACCATTTTTTAAATAATTTATTATTTTAATTCAAGTTGATTTATTTGGTTTTTTTTCTTTTTTTCGTTATTAATTCTTTTTTTAAACCTTATTTATTTATTTATTTTTTATGTTTTATATTCTTTTAATATTTATTTTTATACTATTTTAGAAGCGCAAAAAATTTTTGAACAAAATGTATTGAAAAAATTATTTTAAAATGAAAAATATGAATAAAAACTGTTAATAAGGCTTTAATCATGAAAATAATCATTGTATAATACATTTAATATTAATTCAATATTGATTTAACTAATGATATTTTACTAATTGGTAGTAATTAAGTAAATGAAATTTGTCAATTTAGAAGATTTATAAATTATTAAAGTTTATTTTTATTGCTGAACTTTTTAAATATATTTGTAGCGACAAAAGAATAATCAAACTATTAGCTTATTAAATAATTTAACATCGCTATTAAATACTTAAATACTTTTAGCAGTAATCTACTATTTCAAATTATTACTGAATGCAAATTTGATTGTTTTTAAACTATAAAAACTCTTTCAAGTACTGAAATATAAAAGAGGAATTTTAGGTTGCGCCTCCGATTGAAACACCAGTAGACAATTGCGTAAATGTGGCAGTACGTGAACGAAAACGGCTTCCATCACGTAGCTCAGATGAATTACCTCTAAAAAGATTAAAAGCACGACGTATAGCATTTGATTCAGAAACAAATTCACCTGTTTCTGGAATGTTTATAAAAGTAACATTAATTCATGCCTTTTATTATTAATTCAGCAAATCTTATGTAGTTAAGTTAATTTGTAAAATTAGCGTAATTTATTTTCTACCCTTCGAAAATCTTCACTACTTAAATGATAAAATAATGACGAAAATTCTAAGCTCGATTATTTTGAAACAATCAACAAAATAAATTATAAAGTTTTTTATTGATTAGTTGTGATCTGAAAAGTGATTGAAAAAATGTTTGAAATTGAAAATAATTCATTATTTATCTATATATCAAAAAGAAGAATTTCAGCTAACTTATTAAACAAGCAAATTGGTGAATTTATTAAATCATTTGAAGTAAATAATTAAAATCGATGTTTCTCGAAGAACTCTTGACTCTCGGTTGGATCTTACTTTGTAATGAAATTCCAGGAGGCTTCATCGTTACCTCCTGCTGATGAACTTCAAGCTGCTGCTGACTTAGATGAAACCGCCGTATTTGTCAATGTTTCTGAGGAAAGTCGTCGAAAGATTGAACAAATAACAAATATTATCGGTGATTGCATATGTGCCTTGTGCAAGGTTTATTTTAAAAATACTACCCTAAATCATAATCTTTTTTATCTCCTAAAAAGATCAATTTTTCGATCAACTAATACCGATTTTTTGATCAGCAAATGACCAATTTCTCGATCAGCAAATGACCAATTTTTCGATCAGTAAATGACCAATTTTTCGATCAGCAATAATTTACAATAATAACATTGTATCATTAAAATTGTTATATTTAATATTATTCCTTTCTTACACTATTAATCAAAATTGCATTGCTTTTGTAAGCTAATGTCTATAATTACAATTACAAATTAATTTATTTTCTGGTTATCACAGTAATTTAATTAATAAAATTGCTACAAATTTTTTCTAAATTATCAGTAACTATGGGAAAAAATATTATTTAATAATATTATTTTCAGATATTTAACTATTCTAAATTTTTAATAAAATACTCGTTATACTTCGAAAATTCTTAGCTAAGGTTTATGCTTATATTAAAAAATGCAAATTACTTTAGGTTCGTTACGATGACGTATTTCGACTAGCGCAGCATCGTTGTCCACGTATAATCCACGAAGAATATCGGTGCCCAGAATGCGACAAAGTTAGTATTACTTTTCTAAATAATTTTTATCATATTCTTTATTAAATTAGTATAGATAAATAAATATTAATTTATTAATTGATTTAAATTTTCTGATAGAAATTTGTCTAATTATTACAATTAAAATTTAATGTTTAATTGCTTTTTTCTACAATTAAATCATATTAGAAACAAATTTTTTCATGCAGAATTGAATGCTCAAAAAACTGATTCGTTTTTTAATTTTGATGTAAAAAATGAGGTCATTGAAGTTAACTTTAAATTACAGTATTATAAATACAATACGCTAGCAACAATAAATATACAGCACACATAATTCTACACATCATAAAAACATAATATTACTGCAAGATATAGTTGTGACAACAGAATATATTAATATAAGTATCAGAAAATGAATATTTCACTTTTGGAATAGATGTTACTGTAGAACGCAAGGATGCATATGTCTCTTTAAATACTTAACGATAGATTATTTTATTTAGTTATGCTATCGTATTGTATTTATGTATACTGTACAGCAACTATTTTTTATCTCTCGCAGTAACGGAAACGTGTCCCAGCGTAGTAAGCTATTTATTCTATGATACTACAGTAATAAGTTATTTACTCTATAGTACAACCTAAAATAATAAGTCATTTAATCTATCATACCGCTATAATTATATATATTCTATCAAAGGATAACTTATTAAGGGGTATTGTTGTGGGATTTTCATAGGACATATCTGTATCAATACCACTGATAAATAACGTATATTTTCTAGTAATTCACTCATATCCTATCAAACTTTATATTCTATCAAACCTTAGAGTACGATTGATCTAATTAGATGCATTAGTGGAGACAGATGCTTAGTTAACAGTGCTAATGCATATAAAATCAAGACTGCATCTATAAGCATCATCAAATAGTGCCTCAATTTAGGCATGATTGTTTTGTTCAATGCCTGTGTTTAAAATCCATAATTAAGTAGCAGGTGCAGGTGCGCGAATAAGGCTGAAAAAGTAAATCTCAAAAGCTTAACCTTACAATTTATGCATTTTTCATTTGGTAATTTTTTTTTATCCAAAGTCAATAATTTATTTGTAAATTTTTGAAACCAATTTTTCTCTTATGGCAGCAAATAATAAATGTCAAAGGTTAACAAAAATTAGATCATTACTGAATAAACTTCTTGACCTTACCACCTACTGATTTATGCTTAGTTTTTTTTGCTTGTTTTTCTTTGATAAAATTTTGCCGATTCCTTGAAATAATCCAACAATCATCACCACCCGTTGTTTTTGATCAAAACGATTGTAATAATGTGTTTAAGTCAGTGATTTTGTTTACGCAAAAATATGCTATAAAAACGTGAATCTATGAATTCTTTAATTCATAGATTCACGTAAGAATATGTAAAACAACAAAGGAATTTGTTTAATTTGATAATTTGCAGATTAGATTTAATTTAAAGGTCAAAATTCATAACTAAGTGTTGTCACAAATTAACCATAAATGGTCATTTTTTTCCTTTGACCTTTTTTGAACTATTCAATTTGCATATTACACGTTTTTTAAATATTCTCACCATTTTTTATGCATAATCAGTCTTCTCATCACTATCTTATTTTCTGATATTAACCAAAATTAAACTCAAATTTTATCAAAATCAATTACAAATCATTATAACCAAATTTGACCTCAAGTTAAATTTATCTTAGATTAACCCAAACTTAGACTCAAAAGTTAACTTAATTAACCAAACTCAAACTCAATTTCGGAAATTAAAACTTAAATTTAATCAAACTGAATTTTTTCAAAAATTTCCCTATAAATAAGCTGATTTCTCTAATTAAGTTTGTTTTTATTTTTTATTACAAATTTTTGCAATCAAAAGTAATTGTTAGTATAAACTAGCAAGAAAAAATTAATAAAAAATAGAACTTAAATACTTAAAATTTAATCAATAACGAAGCATTTTAATAAGTTCATTTAATTCGATTCCTATTAATACTTAACTCTCTTGTCTTTTTCCTATTAATTTTTAAGTATTTATTTAAAAAAGTTTGTAAAATAAATTTAGAAAAACAAAATTGAAATTGCTATCATATTATTGCAGGTGTTTAGCTGTCCAGCAAATTTGGCATCTCATCGTCGTTGGCATAAACCTCGTGGGAACGATTTAACTATTACATCTGCTGTATCATCCACTTCTAAAAGTAATTTCTTATGCGCCAAATGTTCTATGACCTTTGACACTAAGAAAGCCTTAAAATTGCATTCCACGCAATGTTCAATTAATTCTTCAGATAACTCAGATCATAGTAATAATTCTCCTTTAAATTTAATACATCAAACAAGCACTTTATTAAAATAAGTGATTATTTAATTTTTGCATATTATTAAATGATTTTCAAATTTAAATTAAAAATTTTGAAAATAGTTTTTTAAAATAATTAAAAATTAATTGATATGAATTAAAATTTGAGATAAAAAGTAAATTTTACTTGTTATTTTAGTCAATCTACCTCAGTTGCTTACTTTCAATACGCATAATTACTGATACAATTATTATAATTTCTATTTTTAAATTTCAAATATTCACAAAATCTACTGCAAAAAATTTATTATTATTATTATTATTATTATTATTTTACTGCAATATTTATTTACAGTCATGAAAACGGTTAGTGATATCTCACCTAATATTGGCAAATTTTTGTAAAAGTTAATTATTCTTTAATGATTTGTTTTTTCAATCTTTATATTTTTAATTATTATATTTTTGCAATTAATCATTTTGTACATAATTTTATTAAAGTTTTATATTTTTCTGGTCAAAATACGAGCTGAGTATTTTCTAGTCATAATTGTATATATTTATACAGTTCAGTAATTCATTTCTGATTAATTGTTGTTGTAAAGTTCTCACTATTATCTTATATCCTATTAATTACTACAATTATTTCTACTAATACTACTTCTTGTAATACTGAATTTATTTCTTAATTTGCATAATTGGTGCAAATGTTAACCATATTACAACTGAATAATTTTACTTCATATTGTAGAAAAAAAAAATAAAAGATTGTAAGATTAAATGGTAGTAACAGTAATAGTGGAAATAACACCTGCTACCTTCTATATTCTTTTGCATGCTTAATTTACTTGACCTTTCATGACCCAAAGTTCAATATAATCATCAGCATTTTGGGTATAATCATTTGGTTACCCAAATAAAATACGTTGTTCAGTTAATTGTTTGCTTCACTATTCGCGAACTTGATTAAGAATAAAACAGTTTTGGTACCAATTTGAATTCCTTAAGCAATTCATATTCCTTGTTTATTATTTCGAAAATTTTGAAAGTTTGTTTTTCAAAGAATATTACTTTATTTAATTTCTAAAAAAAAGTAATTTGAGTACTTAAAACTTTATTAATTATTTAAAATTATGGAAATTATTATGACAACATTCTAATATTATATAACAAGAAGGGACAATTATTTAATTATAATTGAAAGCATTGGAATGCTTTGAATTCCTTGATTTTATTACTCAAATTCAGAACAGTAGTTTTAAAATGAAATAATTTTGTAGTTAAAATTCGCTAAATTTGTTTAATATTTTATATTCAATAGTTATCCTTCAACTATAGAATTTATTGTTCCATCAGAGCTTATGACTTAATGTGGTCCGAAGTTTGATTTAATCATTATTTTTTACGTGAACATTCACGTATATCAGATATCAAATCAGTTTACGTGAATTAATTAATTAACACGTACAGTCAGCTGTGTTATTACATGTTTATGTTTGGTGGCAAAGTTCATCTTACTAAAATGTAAACAATTATGCAAATTTCTTCCGCTCATTTACATACTTGAAATTGCGCATACAAGGGAAAAATGCGTCTGCAATAAATAATTACTCTAACAAGAAGGAACAATTATTTAATTATAATTTAAAGTATTGGAATTCAATAAAAGCTAGAAATTAAATATTTGAAATAATATTCTTTAATTGCATTTTATAATTCAAATTAAGTACGCTAATTATAAATAGTAAACTGCAAAAATTTTTATTGAATATTTTGTTTGTATTTGCAATGTAATTTTGATTTTATTTTTATCTTTGCACAAATATTGTGAACGGTTATGGAACGATAATGGAATAGAAATTACTTGAAATGGTTAATTGAATAACTGAATAGATGAGCCATTCTTGAAATGATAAAACATCAATTATAAATACTCAAATTAGATGCAATTACAAAATTTTCTTCTTCACATCTATTATTGCTACAATTTTCACTCATAGTAACAATACTTCTGCATACTACTATTATTACTATGTACTTATTTTCTATACAAAAGTAAATGTATAATTTAACAGAACTATTAGAAGAAATCGTTTTTGTACAGTTATACAAAAATGTGCGAATTTCGATGAATTTCGATTACCATCACTGTACAAAAACTGAATATCATATAAAAACTACAAGAAAACTATAAGAATAGGCTAACCATACTCTTGTACAGTTAGCCTATTCTTATAGTTTTTTTTGTATATATATATATATATAGTATATTAAAACAAAACTCATTAGCATACAGAATAATGCTAGTTACTTCAGCAGCTGTGTTTCTGATATGTTACTGTAGCACTGTCAAAATTTTTAAATGACCTTTCTGGCATACTGTTATTGCATTGTTGTTTAACTTTTAAAATTACCGAAGCGTCATTATTATACATTGATGATACCACTACCAGGAACAAAATCGTCATAGGATACTGTGATTGCATATTTATTACAGAATATTAGAGTAAACTGCACCGTTAACAAATATTAACACAATGTGCTTTTAGTACATCCTTACTGTATGGCTAAAATAAAACTATCAAAACGATCATAGCATCACAGTGAACAACTTTTTTTTTACAAAATTTCTAAGAAAGCGAATTGAAAATTTTTGTAAGGATGCTAGTCTATTTAATGATATCAATTTCTGACTGTATACCATTGATAGAATACTGTACATCACTGACAATTCTTTGCCTCTGTGTTTCGAAAAATTTATTATTAGGAATATACTAATGATATGTACATTCTAGCATTCCCAATATAATGTTATTGTATCAGTATTTTAGGTACTGTTACGCTGCGATGCTAGAGAAAATCTTACAGTAACAATTTTTTTGCCATTCATTAATGTTAAATTGTATCACTTGGCATTTTTTTTACAAACAAAATTAACTTCAAATAATTGCTTTTAACTTTTGTCCACCAAAGTCAAATATTTTTAAATTTATATTTATTTCGATTAATGTATTTCAAATTTGTTTGCAATGCGTTACTAACAGACGTTATCAAATTTGTTTTCAAATCAATGTCTGATTATTAGTATATTATTTGCATAAGGAACAAAACGATGCTCATGCAAATTTTTCGCAGTTTGTCGAGCAGATGGCATAAGAACTGGTAGTCGGTCAAATGATATATGTTATTGTTGTCAGAATATTTGGCTTCGTAACCTTATCCATATTAATAATTGAACAGATATGAATTAGCAAACAAACGTTTACTGTCTAAAGTAATCAGTGATCGGCTAAACCTTTGACCTTTTCATCAATACTTGTGTTAGCTTACTTCAGTATTAATTGTAGAAAATTTTAAAATTACTATTTTTAGTATAAGAATTAAACAATACAGATCTTTTTTTTTCTAAAAAATAGATCAAAGTTATAAAACAAATTAAATTAATTAACATATGGTATAAGCTTAGGCTTAAATGATATTTAATCGAGAATTACACGCTACTCTTATATTTCAGCGTTAATTCCACCATTATTTGTATTAGTAAATATGTCAAATAAGCTTGAGAAAATTTAATGTTCTTGCAAATTCTGTTTCACATCTTCATGCGAAATTGCCATAATAGAATAAACATACCAATAAAGTTGTTTGACAAATATACTTTATAAACAAGGTCAAAGTTGATAAGTAGCCGTTTTCTTGGCCTTTTAATGCTTGCTTTTACTTAAATACTAATTGATATCACTAGATTTAAGCAAATTAAAAGTAAGCAAAACTTTAAGCAGAAGTATTTTTCTCTCAAAATATGCATAAAAAGAAACAAAAACTTTCTATTTTTACCACAAACCCATTTTCTTGTTAGGATTCTCCATGTCATTGAAAAAATAAAATTGCTGTGAAATTTGAAACACTTCAAAAAAAAGTTCACAACTGACATAAATTCTGATGCCTTTCAGAATAATCGACCAATGACTACAAAATTCATCATTATTTCACTAATGGTACGTCAATGAATACGTTAATATCAGTAAACTGATGGATTCTTACCTTAAATTACTCCAAAAAAGACAGAATTATTGCAAAAATCACTCTAAAATGAATAGATTAGTTAATGCATAATAAAGTAGCAATAAACATACTAACTTGCTTAATAACTTATTAATTTTTAAGCAGTTTCATTAATTTATGAAAACTAAACTTCCCTCAGTCTTTGCGAACGTCATCAACAGTTTGAATATAACAAATCAAGTTATTTGTAAACCACAAATAAAAAATCCCGAACTGCTTTAAATACTAAAAAACTGCATCTAATTCCTGAATGATAACTTATCAAATTAATAAATGTTACATTACATTTAAGTCAGCAAAATTATCAAAACTTTGTTTCTAATTAACTTTGCTCTTCCAACCCACCCTTCTGCTATATTTTTACATCATGAACTTATCACCATGCAGTACACAGTTGAAGGAATGCTAATGTTTTATCAGATCTTCTCCATCTATGCTAATTTCAAAATAGAATGCTTCAAAAAAATATCCCACAAGTATGAAAAACAGCGTGATGCAAGGAAGAAACCATTGCCAGCTATAACATAATTCAGAAGTAAAAAGAAGCACATTTCTGCTCCACTGAGATATCTGCTCAAAATGCATAAAATAAAAATAATTGCTGATACATAAAAATTGTAATACTATTTACTCTTTTCTACAAAGTACAAAACGACAGTCCATTTCACTGATTTCCACTGGTTCGGCAGCTTTTTCATCATAATCAACCCATTCCTAAGTAAGTAAAGTAATAAGCATAAATACTACCTTCAAGATTATTAATAAACAATATTTAAGCACTGATTACCATTCTATTTCCCTCATTTTCACAGACAAAGCTCTAACATACAAGCAAACAACGAAGTATATTGCAGAATATTCTTGCTTTTTATTCCGAATTTTTTGATTAATATCACTGTTACTGTCAGTTACAGAATCACTCAGAAAATATAAAAAATGTTTCAATTTATCTGAATATGAAAATGTAGGATATTTAAATATAAAATACTAAAGTCTACCACTGTTCCTACCAGATTCTAGATAACATCTTCCGACAGTCTTCAAAATAATCAAATGAAATTTTACATTTCAAATAAAAAGAGCAAGTTGGAGTCTTACGAAAATATGCTTACAGTGCACTTAATAGATCAGTATTTCAGCTAGAATAGTTAGCAGTAAACATAAATAAATAAGACCAACCTTATCGATAAGATCAACATCCTCAAATACAAGTGATGATTTTGTACTGACAGCTTTCCATCCTATCTGAAAGAAAGAGATAAATGATTTTATTGAATATTTATTACAAGGAAAATTCGAACAGCAACACCAAGTAATTTATAAAACACAATAACAAAACAACGACTGTTTAACTTTGCATATTATTTCTAGATTGATTTTTTATGCAAAAAAAAAAATATGCGCATTAAATAATAAGAACTAACTCGAGGCTCAAAGGCAATGGGCTCCAAACCACGACAATCGAATTTAACTAATGTCTCAAAATTTCCAATATCTGTATAAGGTTGCAAAGAATCCTTTACAATTTCTGTAAAAATAGACTGTAGTTAATTTTTAAGCATACAGAAATAAAAATTTACAGTTACAAATGTCAACAGAGTTTAAAGCGGATATTAATTAATGCTTTTTAATGCTAATGACAAAATATGAAAAATTCACTAACCGACAGAATTCATTCTAGCACAAAGTTTACACTTTTCAAATAAATTTGCTGTTCCTCTGTTTCCACTTACTTCATATCTGTCCTTGAATATTTCAAAATATAAATACTAGGATTTAAAAAAAGTTTTTCTCGTTTTTCAACATTTCATTGCATGAATATTCCTTCACTTTTAAAATGTCTACGACATAAAACAATACGGCAGAAGTGTAGAAATGTCTAATAATCAGACATAAAAATAATTAGCTTACTTTCTCAGTAATATACTTCCAATTTTTTGACTCCTCACCACAGTTTGTACACTTAAACTGCAATGAATAAATATAAGATATAAATATAAAGGTACCAAAGGTGACATTGCTGAATAACCATTATATCTGAAACTGTATCCTGATCCTTGCTAAACCCATGATTGATTAAAACACAGCAATCAAACCAGATTGTACAACATCGGAAAATCCCAAATTATATATACGTTTGTTTCATTAAAATCAATTTCTCCACGCTGACAAACAATTGATCACTCACGATTTTAACTTATTAAAAATTTCAACCAAATTTCGTGGTATTTTCGTTCTTTCCATCATCATCACTGATATCGGATAAAATTTATAAATCTGGAAAAGCAATAATAATTACAATTTACAAACTCTTATTATAAGTCATTATCAAATTAAAAAATAAAACCTTCAAATGCCATCTAAATTTGGTCCAATCACCTGCTGGTTGAAGCTCGGTTAAATTCACCATATTAGCTTTTAGTTGTAATGCGATTAAAGGCTACAAATGATTTTTATATAATAATCAAAATCACTTTTATAAACATACAAATCCAGATATCTAGATTCATTTATAAAATATGTTCACAATATTACAGAACTAAGGAAACTTTTTCTTGTAATTTGAAAAATTATACAGAACTGCAAGACGAACCATTATATCACGAAAATGCGTTTCTGATTCCTGAAGCTGAAAATAACAAATTTTTTTAAAATGATTTCATCCCAACAAATCAGAATATATTTGATACAGCTTTACAACAATCTATATTCAAATAAAAGCACAAAAAACTGAATTATTTTGTAAATACGAAGTTCTAATGCACATAGAATAATGTATAATTCTTGTAATTAACCATTTTCACTCCCTAATGTCTTTCCATCGAAATATTTTCATGCAGTATTACGCGCCATTTAAGAGAGCATAATGAATATTCAAGAAAGTATACATAACAAATAACAGTATATACAACATAATCTAAAATAATATTGTGCATTATTTAGGAATATATATAACAGTATAAAACTCTTATTCTTTATCAACCAATCTTACTACATAATCTAAGAACGGAAAATATAGATCATCTTTATTAGGTTGAAACCAGAAAATAACGGAAAAAGAAATATTCGATGGAATTCAAGAGATAACAAAATATAAAAGTAATCTTTAAAGAGATCCATGCTACTTAAAAAAACTTAAAATGAACACTGTTCAACAATAAGCAAATTCATATGAATACTAATGAAGATAAATTTTAAGCTTTCGAAAGTAAAAAATGAGCTCTAAATGTGTTAAATTCATCATCATCCATAACAACGTTACATAATAAATAATTGTTATCTTCAGATGGAGTTGGCTGACCAACAATAAAAGAATATTTGTACAAGTATGGAATCGCTTTTGAATGTGGACGCAATTTTAAGCGACGAATGACTGCACCACGCATTTGCAATACTCTCTGGAAATTTTCAGCAATTTTAAAATTTCAAATGACAAAAGCGAACCTCAGTATTTTGCTTTTCTACGAAGAGAAAAAAAGTAATGAATTTCCTATTAAGTTACGTGATTAATTTAATTCATAACATGAAGATTAAATCGAGTCACTCATTCCCATTTTTTTAATGCTTGATTTTAGAAATGGATTTCATTGAAATTACAATGTTCTTTCAAATGACAATTTTTATTGTGGCTCTAATAATATGATTGCCAAATAATTTATAATTTTAGCACAATATTTTTCTGCTTTCCACTCAACTTCATCACTTTTAATTGCTACGCACATGAGTACAGTAAAATAATTGCTAGAAAGAAACCTTGTCAACAGCAGTTAACAGTTCTACTAATCCACGACCATCTGTACAAGAAACGAAATAAGTGTTTGATTCATCAGCAGGTAACTGATCCAATTTATCAATTTTATTTCCAACTCTGATCATTGATTCAATCAAATCATTCCTGATTCTTAACGCAAGTAATGTTTTTAGTACAACATCACGTTGTGCTAAATAATCTGGATTTGAAACATCTTCAACATGCAATAGTAAATCCTGAAATTAATTCATTCAAATCTATTTTATGTACTTGAATGAACTTTAACAAATCACAAGGAAATAACTAACTGCATTTGAAACGTGATTTAACGTAGCTTGAAAGGATGCCAACAACTCAGAAGGCAAATTCGATATAAATCCAATCGTATCGGCAAATAATATTGGTAAACCTGATGGCAATCGATAGAGATGAAGTGATGTATCCAAAGTAGCAAATAAACGATCTTCAACATATAAATCTCGCCCCGTTAATCTAAAGAATAACATAAAACAGATATAAATGACATACAAACCTTGAGTAAATCTTAAATTATTGTCAGTGATCCAGAATTTTTCAATATCAGCCTCAAAGCTCAAAAAGTAACCTCTTAATCAAAGATGACTTCCCAGCATTTGTATATCCAACTACTGCAACTACGGTGCGAATATTTTTTCGAGCTTCACCGATTCTTAGATTTACTTTTTCCTCTACTGCTGCTTTTAAACATTTCCGCAAATGATGTTCACGATAACGTAAAATTTCTAATTTCTCCTCTCTAAATATACATTTTAGTGCAACGTTTACACTTAAACTAAATAAAACAGTGAAAAAAAATATAAATAACATAGTGAATTTATCACTGCCAAATTTTCAATAACTCTGATTGTAATATGGATCAAAAAATGAAACTGTAATCAAACTTTGATTTCCTGGAAACGCTTATATGAAAAACAGATGGATCTGAATGCAATTCATATGCCGATAATATTCTTTCCCTGTAAAATTTTGTAAGTTCAGAACTCATGATAATTGAATTTGGATAAAATTATAAGACGATGAACATAAAAAGTGAATGAGACAAAATTGTTAAAAGGCTCAGAGAAATACAATGACAATGAAATTGACCTAATATATGGTATTTCAGCAAGTTGAATTTGCAATTTGGCTTCCTTTGTTTTGGCGAACATTTTAAAAATAAGCAACACAATGTTGTAACGATCGTAAACAGGTACACGAAAAATTTCTGATAATTCAACCTTAAGTTGATGCTTCAATTTGAACTTTTTCGAATGCGATAATCTCCTTAATCTCTACTAAGATTGAGCTATGTTTTATGTCATAATTAACATTTGAAGAACTTAGTACTTAATTTATACTTAGTATTTGATAAATAAAAACATTAAAAATTATTAGAATATACTTGTTGCCTCGGTGACAAAATTTTAACATCAATCATCAATGCAGTGGCAGCAATTTCTTCTTTGAGAGAAATTACACGTTCAATACGTCCTTCACCCCAAAGACGTTTTTTTTCAGTCGAACGATCGGTGTTTACACACACTGTCCTGAAATATTTTCATAGTCTGATATAAACATAATTTATGAAGTTATCCAACTGAATATAAAATTGATTATAAGATTTGCTGGCAACTCGAAAAAGTTCTTTTGCTTTAATAATGGAAGAAGCCATGCACATATTCAAAAATAATGACCTATAATATATTTTCAATAAATAAAATGATTTGAATATAACACATCATAATTAGCCACATATTTTAGAAACTTCGCCATACAAATGACTTTTATCTTATGCATCAATTACTATTTACAACTCATCCACAGCTTACTGACGGTTAACTACAATAAATCACTACTTAAACAAAGTTATTTACGTTACCAACAAAAGATACTAAATTTACTAACATTTTTAGCTCTATCTAAAAAAGTAACTGAACTTAAAAACCTACACAAATAGTTTCCTACAATCAAATCCTAACTTTCTCCTTTCCAAAATTCATCGAAATTTTCCCAAACATAAACGATTTAAATATAAAAAAATTTATGGTCATCAATAAAAACCAGAAAAATCACTAACTGAATAACTCTGAAATTGGGCAAAGTGTTAACTAATGCAGTTGCTTCTTCCAACTGTAGCTTTATTTTCGTTGGATTTAAATCAAAAAAACGCCCACGTCGTAATCGTGGATGAATGAGCAAAACTCGATGGCAACCAGGTAACACATCTCGCACACCATATGATTTTGAAATTATGTTAAACTCATCATTCATTTTTACTACTTCTTCTGATTGTTTTATGCACAAATTACGCACTGACTGCATCGTAGCCAAAGTCTTAAGAAATTTTCTGAAATTCCTATTCCAAATTAAATATTACTTGAAAATGCGAAGCAATATTTAATTACAAAAATTTGGACAAAATATACGTAAACTTAAAACTTCCAAAAAGTAACATAAAAACGAGAACCAAGTTTACGTTGTTTGCATACCAATTAGCACAAATTCACTGTGTATCTCAACCACTAAATAACAAAGCAATTATAGTGATTAAAACTCCTGAACCAAAATTTTAGTCTCTTGTTTCCCATATGAACGTTGAAGTTATTCTTATCCCATTTTTACAAAAATAAAAACTGAAAACATACTTTGAAATCGACACTTTCACCCCCAATCTTTTGTACATAATCGATTCTCCAACCAAATCACGAAAGTTCATTGATACAAACAAAGTTCACACCGAAAAAATCGTATACAAGTGATCCAAACGAAACTTGATATTTTTTACTACAATAATTATAGAAAAAGAAAAAACTACAGCGACTTGAAACCATACAGTAAAACCCTATTTTAATATATGTCTGCTGTCGGAATCACAAACTTGTCCTTATCGGATACTTTATATAAACAAATCTAGTACAGTTCAAAAAAACAATCGCGAGAGTTCCCTTTCAAACAACATATGTAATGCTTTATATTTCAACCAAAGACATATTTTAAAATGCATATTAATAAGGTGAAATTGAAAATGAAAGCAAAGAGAAGGAGACAAAAAGAGGTACCCATTTTTTAAAAATATCACAGTATTTTGAAAGAATATTATAGTTCAAGAAATCATCACACAACAGTATTAAAAACTGAAAAAAAAGAGTGAAATCACTCAAGAAAAATAAAAGAGCATGACAGACAGATTTCAGGAAATAGCAACTGAACAATGAATTTGTCCCTATCACATAAATTATCGAAAATGAAACAAATGATAAGACCAATCTGTACACATTTATAAAATAAAAGAGATTGCTCACTGCTTTCAGAAAGAATATTTATATCAGCTAGACCCAATATAAAATTCTTCAAAGTTCTAAATGTGCACAGTCCAATGAAATTAGATTCATTCAAAACACTGAGAGCAATACAACATAGAAATTCCTAAAGCCCATTCTCTGTTTGAGCACTGATGTAAATATACAACATTATAAAAGGTATGAAAACGATAAGTACATCACTATCAGATTATCTCCAGCTTTAGTTAATAGTATAGTACAAAAACGTTCTATAATTTTTGAATTCTCATTACCGATCCTCATTCAGCAATAATGTTGATAATTTCGATTACCGAAAATTTGAAAATAGGAATTGATTAAATACACTATTAATCATAGAATGCAATATAAACCAATTACAAACAGCAGGTAGAAGTGCATAAAACTACCAAAACTTTTATTTAGTTTAACTTTTGTTCTGACCCAGAAGTTGAAGCTGTGGAAAATGAGAGATTAGTAGATGATGAAGCTTTTTCAAGACCATGTAAAGTTTGCAATACTGCATCAATAGCTGCCATATCCAGACGAGGTTTTTTGACCTGTACATTTGAAGAAATACTGCTGGATGATTCATTGCGATGCACTGTCTTTAGTTCACCAGATGTACTAGAAGAGGAGGAGACGATCAATGAGGATTTTGATGACACTGGTACATCAAGTGACGAAGCTGCAGTTGACTCTTTACAATTAGTGATATTTTTCGTCGAAACAGTTCGTCTTACGGAATCATTATGAGAATAAATATCAGGTTTCAATATTTGTGATAAAAGATCAGGAGTTTTCGGTATAGGCAAGTCCAAAATACGTTTACGAGTATTATCCTGAAATAAATAAACTCTATATATTTTCATTTAATGGCTGATAATTACAGATGTACTAATTAATATGAGACATCTATCATTTTACACATATTTTTCATGGCATTTGACAGACTAATTATAAGACAATAAAAAAGTGCCCCATTGCAAAGATTTCCAAATTAGATTACATATTTAAATTCATACTCATTATTCTCATTCTACTAAAAGTAAGAATTTCTAACCAGCAAGTATAAGAACAAAAAACTCATATTGTTAGACGTGGAAAGAAATGATAAATTTGATGAATAAACCGAAGTTTTGAAAAACAACAGAATGATAATCACCGAAGAAGACGTTACACGTCGAACATCGGATTTCCGATATTCTTGCTTCAACTTTTCTTCATGTTCATGCTTAGTTCTTATACGCGTTGCCTTTTCCAATACCATCCCAACTGTAACAGTGTTGATGATTTTAAACAATATATAACATCTATATACTTTTATCATTATCGTCATCCCGACTTTTAACTTCCAAAAGCATGTAAACAACTTCAAATTAACTGCACTACGATATCTTTCACATAAGCAATAAACGATTGTTTGAGATTAAATATCTAAGAGTTAACTTACGAAAACATTTCTCGGAATTTATTGGAATCTATAATCAGCAGGCCACTCACGTAATCTTACCTCTCGCTGAATGTCCACCTCCTACCAGCAAAATTTCCCTTCCTTTGCTGACTCCTGATACTACAGTTTTTTTGTATGATTTAGTTTCTATCACATCTAATTCATCTTTTCGCAAAGTTCCTAGAAAATATCTATTTTAAACAACGCATTAAGATTGAGTTTTTTCAAAAGAAAATTGAAAATCAATAGCTATAATCCCAAAGCAATCTATTTTTTGCTATATGTCTCAAAAGTTATGTGAAGAATAAATAATAATAATAAATGCCTGGCTTTGTGGCAATGTAATTGAAAAGATCATCCAGGGAATCTGATTGACCTGAACCATTCTGAAGACACACGTCAAATAAAAAGAATAAATAAATAAATAATGCTACGAATTTATATGCAGAATTGAACTCATTCGAAAATAAATGCAAATAACTTTAACTATATGCCCACAATAGAGAAATATATCTGCAGTTATTTTTCTCCTTTATCAATTTTAATAGCAACTATATTAAAAAATGTATTCAAAAAGTACAAATAAAATAAAACCTTTGTAGTTTTAATCGACTTCAAGTCTACATTACGATCAATTCTCTCTTTCTTTCCACGAATATCATTATATAATTTAAACTTTCCAACAGGTTTTTGAACAGATAATGGCCTGAAATATTCTAATGGTTGAAATTCCATTAAACATATGGGTAGTCTTACAATAAATTTACCAATTTAGATAAAATAAGCAAACTCCAATAAAATCAAAATATAATTTAATACCTTGAACGACTTTCATCAACTTTTCTTCTTACTTCTTCTTTGTCGATATTTTTTGCAACTGGTTTTGAACTATCATCATCACCAAACAACATATCCAAAATATTTGCTTCATTAGGCTCATCAATATTATTTTCAACTGGCAAATTACTCTTTAAATCTTTTTTCAATTTTCGATCCCTCGATCGTTCTGGCAATTTTTTTAATTCACTAGTACTTTTCAATTTTTCGCCCTTTATTTTTTTTACCTTTTCACGATCTTCACGTTCTTTTCGCCTTTTCTCACGTTCTTCTTTTTCACGAATTTCACGCTGCTCCTCCTCTTTACGTCTTCTTTCTCTTTCAGCTGCTCTTTTCAATTCTTTTTCTTCTAATTCACGTTTTTGCCGTTCAATTTCTTCCCTTTCTTTTTTCATTAGAAATTCTTTTTCTTTTTTTCTTTTTTCGGCAATTGTACATGATTCTTCTTTGTTATCTTCCATCTTTTTTAATTTTTCTAATTTCTTATGTTCAAAATTCTTGGACGTCGAAGTACCTGATGATGCTACTGAATTATCAGAATCTTGAAAAGTTGAGCTGGCTTGCAATGCTTCTATTTGTTTTTTTCTAGAAGATGAAAACTTGCCATCATCAGAAAGCCCATTATTAGTCAACTTTGATTTCTGTGGCTTTTTTCTTCTTTCATCTGCGAAAACTCTTGTAGAAACCTGACGTTCGGGATGTACAGTAATTGAATTTTCTTCACTGTGAACTGTATTTTTTTCAGTAACTAATTCCTTTTTACTTTCAGCTGCTAAAGAAGACCGACCAACACCCACATTCCTAATCTCATTTCCTTTTTGTGTCTCTGATTCACCATCATTTTCGCTTTCAGAATTTTCAAAAAGCGACTCAATTTCTTTTTCTATAAGTGATTTTAAAGCCACATTCGTATTAGTAACAGTTTTCTCTTCCACAATACACTTTCCTATTGACTTATTCGAAATATCACTAGCACCTGAAGTCTTCTCTTCTTTGCCGGCTACTGATGCGCAGTTTTGAGACTTCATCCCACAATTTGACAGTGAATTCCTTTCACTCAAATCATGTTTATTTAGCTGGTTCGAAGAGTGATTCTCAGAACTTTGCTGAATTTGATCACAAGTTTGCACTGTTTCTCGTCCTTCAGGTTCTGCAACTTTCCTACTCGATTTATCACATAATTCAGCAAGCTTTTTCCAACCTGCAGATATTTCGGTAACTTTTTCTTCGTTACAAGAATCGTTATCGGTTTTGTCGAAATTTCCAGGAGGAAGAATTAGATTCTTCTGAGTATCTTCATTTTTCTCGTCGGGCAAATAAGGGCATTCTACTTCGACTCTTTCTTTAAATAACGCGCTTTCAGCAACTACCTGCAAGCTGGCATTAAACAACGGCTACAGAAAGTTTTATAGTGTGCCTCATACTAACTATCCAGATCATGAGCAAGTAATTACCACTTTTAGACATAAAAACAACAAGAGAATTTTATATCATAATTATTATGCCTAAGGTATTGTTATTTGAATTTGCATAGCAATCAGAAACAAGGTTACCGTTTTGTTGCGTCTCGATGTTGAATGACATTTAGACTTGACAGTTGTTGTCAGCAATTTTGAACCCTGAAACAAAAATATTTAGATTGAAAAAGAGTCGACCAGAATGACATATTTTTGAAATCATCTTACTGATGGCTCTGGTATTTGTAACATTGCAGATTTTTCTTGGGTCATCAATTTCGTCGGTGTGGAACAACACAGTGGTCTTGATTCATCTATCTCGGAGCACGGTATATTACATAAATTTCGACTGCTATCATTTTCCACAAAATCCTACAGCAATTATAAGGGGAATGAAGTGTATGACGAGTGCTCAAAAAATCAATGTTTTGCAGTAGCTTGGTCTTTCTGATCGAGTTTTATATTGAACAAATATCTTTGTTCAAATATCAGAAATTATCAGAATCCAAGAATTTCGATCTCAATAACAGATTTATGAAACCAAAGTACAGCTCTGTGAACTGAAAAAAGTAAATTTTGTGATTTAAAACATGGAATGAACAAACGTATTATTACTTGAATAGTCGAAGGTTAATGAAAACAACCTTTAAAGTGTCATTAGATGGCGACGACTCTACTTGAAAACTTGCTCCATGCAAATTCTCTGTGCTGTCATGATTCGGGAAATAATCAAAAAAACCTTCTGGAAAATCTTTTTCAATACTTCTTATAAGTTCAGAGAAATTTTCATGCGCCATACAACGATCCAGTGTATTCACGGCATTTTCGTCGATTGAAATCAGTGAAATCTAAGAGTAAACGCAGCTAAAAGTCATGGAGATAGATATGCAAAAAAATGTATTGAAAATATAATTCATAGTTTCCACCAACATTTCCGATCAAGAAACTGATCAAAAACAAACCCCTGATAATGACGAACAAGCTTCTTTTTTAGTTCCCTTTCCATTGTCGATTATTTGTTGGGCTGTCTGTACAACTGGTTCAACAACTTCTTTCACAAATTCCCGACGCCTTGAGTTAATGCTGACCGGCTGAACACACTTCCTACAATAAATTATGGGACTTTTGTATCTGTTCTTTTCTTTACAATTTTTGCTACTTGTAAGCATTTTTATTATTATTAAACCTACCTGTTATGCGACTAAAAGCACACATGAATGTGGATGAAAAAAGCATGAAAAACCTTCCCACCTTCTTGAAGATGTCGACGCAGTAGTTTGTTGACTTGAAACACTAGTCGTTGAATCAACATTAAAAGCAGGTACTAATGAATGATGTCTCTCCGTATTACTTAAAGGATTATCTGATGCTGGTAATGAATGCTGTGAAAAAGTTTGCCTGAAATGAATAAATTCCAGCTTGTCTTCTATCAACTGAAAACCGCAGCATTTACTGAATAAAACATACTACAAGCCAGCTACAATAAAATATTTACGCCATTTTTTGCCGGCTAATTTTTTCTTAGAATTTTTATAAAATGCTAGAATTATATTGATTTCAGCAACATTTCAATTCTTTTCGAATATAATAACCAAAAAATCTCAAAATGCTTGCATATTAAGTGAAAATAACACTGTTGTCTATGAAAAGAATTGATAATGGTTTACAAAATATACGAACGATGGTGTCGAACGCCTTCCATAAAACATTTTTTGAGCATCAGACCAATACGAGCTAGCATTTGTCAATGATGTGAATTCGTTTGCAAGTGAACGTAATCTAAGCCCAAAATCAAGGAACGCTGGATTTATACCAAAACTACCATATTCATTGAATAACTGAAGAAATTAATAACTACATAATATTCAGTCAAACGATGAATCTTTAATATTACTTCCAACAAAACCTAATGATAAAACAATAACTGAACAAGTAAAAAAAAATGAAAAAACACAATACACAGGTGACTTAAATATTTTTGAAAAAAGGCTAAATTCTGAATATACTCAAAAATATTTTGAATTAAGACAACTAGAAAAAATAAAAAAATCACAATAACAATTTCTTCCAAATGTTTGCCATGTATGGTATCATTTAAAATGATAGATAATTCACCACACTGTGTAGCACAGAGAACCGACGATTCATTCATGAAACACTTCAATGATTCCCAGTACTAAAATAAATTTAACTAATCAAAAGAGACGAGCCGAATAATTTGTATTCATTTATTCATGGTGACAACCGATAATACATTACTCCTGTCTAAAACTTTAAACATAGAAAGACAACAGGAGCAGTTATCAGTGACATACAGATCATTGCATATATATGTTAGCTAATACCTCAACAAATAAATGAAAACATAACAAAAGAATTTTCTATGCTGGAAATTCATGTAAATAAGCAATAATCATAATTACATTATAAAATTTTATAAACAATCGATTCTATTGAACTTAATTTAGCAATTACTTTTTGCCTGCCAAGGTAACCAGCCACAAGAGTATCCAGCAACTTCCGTAAATTATTATTGGTTGTATTCGACTCCATTATCAGCTCTTATTGTATCAGTGATTTCTGATTCCCTTACCTGAAAAATATGCGGAACAATTCTGAAAGAACTGGAGAAGAAACGTAGAATATGGAACGTTTGAGTGAAAACAAACAAAGCAGCAAAAAAAATCGTTTCTTCGACAAAAATATTTCAAAAAGATTAAATACCAAAATTATGCATATTATAAACGGAATATATGCAAGAATTATGCAGATGAAAAAAAAGATTATGCACAAAAACTATGCAAATAGAATTTTGTACAAAATAATTACAACTGTACACAATGAGCATAAAATTATTACTGCAATGATTATGCTAAAAATATGAGATTAAAAATTTATGCATAATTCTATTGTATTAAAATTGTAGTGGGAAAACAAGAAGAGAAGCTTAAATTTTGAAAAAAGCAAATTGCACTTCGTAAATATTACAATCTTATTTTCTATAAATAAAATTTATCTATAAAATGGCTTTCATAAAAAACGCATGGACTGGAAAAGGAAAATACAAGCTGGAGAGATCCCAGAGATTGATGATAATTGCAGAATGAATGTATTAGCAGGAACCTAGATTGAGAATAGAAGTGGTTGTAGTGGTTAATTGCAGCAAAGATGGGAATTCTGGTTATAGTGAATGTAAATAAGGAGTGCATAGACAAACATGCAACGATATAGTATAGTCATAGAGATTGAAAGAGTTAGCTAAAGAGTTAAAGTTTTGACAATTTTAGTACAAGAATTATCATTGACAGTATATTTTGATGTTACAGTTTTAGAAGCCTGAATGTACAGTCCTGAATAAATTAGCATTAAAGATAATGTGGTGGAAAGACTCTTACTAGGAACATTAGCATAAATATTTTACTGCTAGCTTATATTTAGATTTGAAGAATAAGCAGACATGGAGTATTTAATGTATTCGTGAATAACTCAAAACAGAATTTTCTCCTTTTTCTATTTTGTATTATTTGATTTATTGATTACTTTTGGGATAGACGAAATATTAGCTTTTTTTTTCCAAGTATTTTATGTTTGTAGCAATTTTTAGGAATTGTCTTTGTGCATAACAATTTCTTACAATGTCTCGAAAACTTCAATACAAACTCATTGATATCGGTGCCAATTTAGGCCATCCAAGTTTCCGTGATGACCTTTGTGCGGTAGTTGAAAGGGCAAAAGAAGCAGGTTAATACTTTTTTGTTTGTTTTAGATCTATTTATTCTAAAGAAGCATTGTTTACACACTATTCATCTCCATTTTAATATGGTTGTTGTTAATGATAATTATTTTTTTGTAAAAAGCAATATTTTTATTGAGTTCATTGAATAGTATTTTAATGCATTAAAAAAAGTAGAGTATTACATAGTAGCATTATTTTGTTAAAAACTGAAAAATTTTAAAGATTTGCCATTTGAAACTTTAGGGTTATGTAAAATAATGGTGACCGGTACATCAGTACAGCTTAGCAAGGAGGCTCAGAAGTTGACTGAGCAGTTTCCAAATTTTTTATACTTTACAGCTGGTATTTTTTCTTGTTTATTACATTTGATACTTTTTTCACTTTAAAATATTTCTCTATTTTCAAAAATATAATTCTTAATACAATCAAATATAATATTTTTACAGCTTGTCCCGAATAAATTTACACTACTTTCAACATCTTCAGAAGAATAAAAAGATATAAATTTATTTTTCATTTAAGCTAGTTTCCGGAGTACTGATATATACCAAATTTTTTCTTTGCTCTTCACTTGTCCATTTGCGACAATTTAAAGGTGTCCATCCACACGATGCCAAAGAGTTTGATGATCAAACGATTTGTGAGCTGAGAAAACTTTGTAGTGAACCCGGTTGTGTAGCTGTTGGAGAATGTGGCTTAGATTTTAATCGCAATTTTTCACCTCAAGATCAGCAAAGATTGGTATTTAACGAGCAGGTGCTTGGTAATTGAATTTCTCATTTTTATCTTTTTTCGATTTTTTCTTCAGAGTTGCAGTCAAATTAGAAGATTTGCATAATTCATATCGTTTGTTCGACATCAGTGAAAAATATAGAACATAAATAAAATATGAAAATAGACACAATGTTTATCACATTTCTATCCATCACTTATTTGATTAACTAAAGCAAGAGTTAAAGTTGGCTTTGCCTTTTAGTTTTAAGTTAATTGCTAGCTGTAATCTTACTGTATATTCTTTAAAGTTGTTATTTTTGAGTAGCAATTATGGACCATTTCATGCAACAGATAGTCACACTCTTTTATTTTACAGCTGAAATTAGCATGTGAGTTAAAGAAACCGTTATTTTTACATGAAAGAGATGCACATCAAGATATGGTTGATGCGCTCAATAGGTAAATTTGTTATATATGTATTAGAGAAAATGATTTTATTTGATTTATTTGGAAATATTTTTCCTTCTTTCATTGATTCTCTTACACACCGGAAAGTATATATCTCCTTTATTTGTCTAAACAAAGTTTTGATTTAGGTATAAAGATCAACTACCTCCTGTAGTTATACATTGTTTCACTGGCAAAGCAAAAGAAGCCGAAACATATATCAAAATGGGATGTTTTATAGGACTAACAGGTTGATTCTTTTTTTGCCTTGACTGACTGAAAATCATCAAGATTGTTTCATTCCAAGAAAGTTTTTTGTAGTTAGCATCTTTGTCGAAAAGTATGTATTTAGTTTTCTGACACTCTGATCATTTGAAAATTTTTCCACGTTTTATGATAAATAATTTTAGTATTATAAGTCTTTTAGTTAATTACTTACATTTTACGTAGATTTTTTGTAGGTTATATATGGAAAGATCGAAGTGATGATGGTGTCAAGTATGCATTGCGCAATGGCATAATAACTGTGGAAAGACTTGTGTTGGAATCAGATGCACCTTTTATGTACTCAAAAATTGATGACAAGAAAATTCCAGCAGAAATTCGTAACTGCATCACAAATGAAGCACGAAGTATGCATAAATTCACTTCGTTCAATAGAAATGAACCGTGTGCCTTACCAGCGATTTGTGAATTAGTCGCTGCATATATGGAGGAGAACCCCATGAAAGTAGCGGATGTTACTACAAAAAATGCAAAGCATATTTATAATTTAGAATAAGTTGTTCATAGTGAGAAGTTTGATCACAATCACAATATGTTTCAGTTTATTTAAGCACTGTAATTTTATTATTTAAGCACTGTCATGATTACTTTATAACTGCAGTTTTGTTTCAGTAGTGAATTAGGTTATATTAATAGATGTATTAGGAATACATTAATAAAAAATCAAGAGAAATTAACAGCAAAGAAAGTAAACTAATATTTGTTTGTGATACTATTATTATTAAGAGATTCAAGTCTAGAATGTCTCATAAAACAACCAGGTTTACAGATTATTTCAAGCCGCTACTTAATCCTATCAAATACTTGTGCAGAACTAGCTTAGAATCACTATTGAGTTCGATGGTCTCTTAAAACTTACCTGATTCAGAGCGCATGAATGTATTAAGCAGACTACTCAGAAAATCTTCATTGCAGCATAGTCCATGAGAGATGGAAGATTGAAATTTTTAGATTCTATATTAATATTAAGGAACATTTTTATGTTATTTTATAATACCAGTATTGAAAAGAAGTGCTGTACTCATTTGAGATAATCTGGCGTCGATTAATTTTTGTTAAATTATTAAATCAGAATTAACCAAATTACTTATTTATTCTGGCTTATAATGATTATCAAGAATTAAAAAACACAGTATCCTACTTTTTCTTATTTGTGTTTTTCTTATTTTTGGAATCAGATAACATTGGGAAAGTTTTAATTTATAATTGTATTGCTAATTAATAAAGTTAAAAGTAGAATCGGAAGATTGAGGGGAAGACGAAGATGTTAAAAGATGTAAACAAGATTCTTGTTTTCTGATCACTTATTTTCTTGTTTGCCTGCATTTTAATATAGCATTTACATGGCAAGGATTTTTATTGTATTTATATTTTAGTTACAAAAATTTTCCTATGACTTTTCACTGTTGTGGATATTTTTGTCATTACCATTAATTCAATAGTTATCATTAAAATGGAATATATTTTTATCCTGCTGTTCTTCAAATGTTTCATTTGTAATACATTTTCATATTTTATACTTCCAAATTAGACCAATACATTTTCATTTGAATTGAAATCTGTTTGAGCAGTAGTATTTATTGAAATTATAAGTATTTGAATTGTTGTCTATTAATAATTATAATGATTGCATGCACATTTATGATTATTATAGCAGTAATTTCTACGTCTTTATTTACACAGGAACTTGTTTAATTATATGGTGTTTCGGCACTGCAGTTTATCAAGTGAAGTGAGTAGAACAAAAATTTGTATTCAAAAATGATTCTCACACTTCAAAATACTTTCAAAACAACTTCAGTACAGTATACACATAAAACTGATATTTAATTTCAGTACTCTTTGGAACAAAATAATGGAATAGTAATAAAAGTAAAGATTGCTTCTACTTTTATATTAGATAACTTCAACGAGGTGAAGATTTGCTTGAACAATTTCTGATCAAGTGCAAATAATAAAAATTAGCAAGAATTCTTTAAGAAGTGTTTAATAAATTCTATGCTAATTTACACCCTAGCCTTTATTAAGATTTAACATGAAGAAAACTTGGTAGAGAGGTACTTGAGGTATTTTTCCATAATGGTTTATTCTATCACATTTTCCTAAAATGCATCCGGTATATTGAGGTAATTTGCATAACCAAGGATTTTTATGACTCTCAATTCTATTTGAATAAATTTAATTCTGGTAGAAATCGGATTTTATTCGATAAATCTATTCATTTTACTTTGTTGTTTAGTATGGTCTAGTTATAATCCCTTATAGAAATTCATTGTTATCACTTTCATTATTCAAGATGAGACTTGAAATGTGATGTGTTTTTTTCAAATATATAACTTAAATTATTTTTTATTGAAAAAATTGTACTGGTAAAAGATAGTATATGAGAAATGAAACAATGTAGTTATTAAAAGGCAAAATTAAACAGTCACTATTTATTACCGACTACAATCTTGTTTTAGTAGGAAGTTAATAGATGAAGCTAAAAGTATGATAAATTTACTAGCATTAAATTTGTTTGGTCGAAGTTAAGTAATTGACCTTTCTGGTATTGTTTGCATGTGGAATATGGTCGTACCAGGAGGTCAAGAATTTGATTCACAGGCAAAACTTCTTTAGTAAAAGTGTAATAAGAAAATGATATTAGGAAGTTAATTATTATCATAATCTTAATCTAGATTAATTCCTGGATTAAGATTATGGTAATAAAACTTACAAATTATCATAATAAACTGTTTGTGAGCGTAATGTAAACTGACTAATAAAGTACTGCTTCTGAAGTGTAAAATATTAGCCTCAAGATTGTTTACTCAGCTCTAGTAGGCAAAGCTTTATTTGCAAGATTTTGGTTTTAATTTAGTTCCTGCAAAAATTGATATTAAAAAAAGTCAGAGTTCATATGGATCATACTGGAATTTTATTTCGTCAAATTATCATTCAATATGCAAATTTCTTTCGATCTCTATTTCTTTTCATGACCTTAGAAATACTAAAGAGCAGAAATAGAGAGTTAATCTAGAGATATAAGAGCAGAGAATGACCTCAAACATTCAGAGGTCAAGTAAAGTCGACACATCTCGTGAAAAAAATACATTTTGCAAACAATTTATATCTTAACCTGTTTGCACTACTTGCATCCTTGTTAAAATACATTTGCGTAGTTTTTTGTGCAAACTTTCATTTATTTTTTGTGTAAAATTTTGTATTTTTATTGGGAAAAATGTCCAAAAATTTTAAATATTCACAAATGCGTGATAAAAATAAAGTATAAGTAATAGTAAAATGATATAATTATATTTGTTACCGTATGCAATAGCACATTTCACGTTTTTTATGAGTATAAATTAAATTTGATGTAGTTCAAAGGTTAAATATCCGTTCAGACTATAGTCAAATGCACGATCTAATCTTAATTAGGAATCTTAATTAAGATCTTATCTGTTTACGTGCAAATTAGCATAAAACCTATTCAGATTAAAATATAACTCAGTCTTATCTAATTTGATTTAGATGTACGTAAATATCTATTCAGATTGATTCAAATATATATTCTAACTGCAGTTCATTAGTTCATGATCTATTATTTCAGATTTTATTCATAGTGTACATAAAATAGCAAAACTTCTTTAGTAAAAGTGTAATTGCGGTTGTTTTGATAAAATTTATTTACTCTACGAGCAAAATTGAACCACTGCAAGTATTTCAAACAAATGAAACAACAATTTTATTATTCATATCTCTACAAAATTAACAATTATTTAAAATCTTACAGAAATTTGTTATTTTTAGAAATAATGTCAATTAAAGTTTAGTATTTAAGTAATTTAATCTAATTTAACAGACGAACTTTAACCTTGATCATGGATAGCTTGAATTTTGGCTACATGTTAAGATAAAGTTGAAGCTGAAAATGTTTTGCTACTATCTAAAATTTTCAAATTTCGAATGTATAATTTAAATTTTATCATCATCAATAATACATTTTTCCTTAGAAGACATGATAATAAAAGTGGAATAGAGCAGCGTTGAGACCCAATTTATGCAGATTAGACTAGAAAACTATGAGACTGCAGCATCGTGTCGAGAGTCCAAGAGTGGTCATGCTGCTTTTCTTACTAGCAGCTATAAGTCTGTCTAAAATTTTCTACAAGCTTCTCAATTTTAGTATTATCAAAGTATCTGCATTCAAAATTTAGGCTGATAATTGACATTTTGACCTTTATTTGAACTTATTTTTATGCAAATTTCTATATCAATAATATTTTTTCAATTTGACAATTTAACCTTTATTTAAACTCTGTAGCAATCTTCATGAATATCCGCCTAATTATGTTTATTGATTGTATAAAATATGTATTTGGCTTCTTTTCACTATTGCTTTTTATATTTTCTAGAATAATTATTTAATAAAAGAGCTAATTAATTTAATAATAATTAAGTGACCTCCTTGTTAATCAATCATTCTTTCACTCTTACTTTCATATCACTGTATTAAATAAAATACTGTAATCTGATTATTGTCATATAAATATTGTAATTATTAAGTCATAATCATTTTTGTATCATATTGTAAATGTAAAAGCAAAAATTATCAAATTAATAAAGTAGAAGCATACATTATTAAATTTCAAAAAATTAGATAAAAACTTTTTTTGGTGACGTAAAAATTTTTGTAACGTAAATTTACGTTACAAAAATTGCCATTTGCAGTGTATATTTGAAGCTTTCATCGAAGTTTTAATATATGAAGTAATTAATTTAATATTCAGAATGTTAATAAAAAATCAAGATGATTAGTTGAGGAATAGTACAACTTGAGATAGATCATGTGATTAGCTTAGATTGAGATATATCGCTTGATTTGCTTAACTCAAAATATACTCACTTATTGATTACTTGGGATATCCGATATTCAGCTATGCTAGCTCTAAATATGTACTTCAATCTTGAAAGTCAAAGATGAGAATGAGAGAAAATATTGAAAGTTAAAATATAATTCAACGTTTCTTAAAGTCATAATATTGGAAATAAGTCATACAAACAACGTCTTAATATTCTCAGTGTTACCTAAAGGAAAGTCTAATCACGTAATTGAAATACGCGGGGTCAATACATTCGTTACATTAAGTTAGGCGTTCTAAACGAGGTTCATTATCCTTTGCATGTATGTAATTATTTATGTTGCAAGAATATATTCTATCATCCATTAACAAAACGTGATGGAGGTTGGGGGGATCGAACCCCCGCCCTCTCGCATGCAAAGCGAGCGCTCTACCACTGAGCTAAACCCCCGTTACAGCATCCGATGCAATGACATATTATATACTTGAACAAATAATTTTTATTATAAATATCATTTTAATAATTATTAATTTTTGCAAATAATTAGTGAATAAATATTTGTTGCATAAATGATTCAATATAATATGCCTCAATTTGAAATACAGAAGCCTTAAATATGATTTAATCGATGCTGCACGATTTTGATTACAAATATAATTATATTCTAAATCAGAAATATAACTTGAATAAGTCATAATAGATATAATTTCAGATATTGTATTTATGCTTCTAAAGTATTTAATACAAAATCGTGTGCTGATATCATTAAGAAAATGCTTACTTCAAAATTATTTATGAATATTTTTAATAAAATATTTTAGAATTTAATTACTACAAAAATTGTTCAACACTACAGTTACTATAACAGTAATCTCTTTTGATTTACTTGCTGCAAAATTTTAAATTATAGTATTTAATCATTTATTATTGCTACTTACTGCTAATGATAATGAAAATACGAATTCAAAATCAGATAATTTTTAGACAAAAATATGCAATAAATTCATTTATTCAAATTATTTACTCGAAAACTCAAAAACTTTCTTTCATTAAGTCAGTATATGATATTATCATTATCAACCAAGAAAATCTTAATAAATTGATTGATAATTTCAATCTCTAATTAATTGAATATTTATATAATATATTAATATTTTAAACAAAATTTGCTTAATTGATTAAATCATATCTATTTGTTTAATCAGTTGATTGATAATTTCGATTTCTAATTATATGATTATTAATTAATTGGATATTTAATTATAAATTTTTGTTAAAGATAATAGTATTTGCATTTGACTGATTTGTTTACTTGTAGGATTTAATTATTTACTTTTTTTCGAACTGATAAAAGTAAAGTAAAAAAGTTTTGTTTTATCGCTTTGTAAGTAAAAAAATGAATTAAATAAGCCTTTTAAGGAGAAAAAAGCAATAATAATAAATAATAAAATGCTTAAAGCAAAAATCTATAAAAAGTAGTTTTTGCATTCAATTTTACATTGTAATATTTATATAACTTTCACTTTTCACACATAAACAAACTTTTTACTTTCTTGCAATTTTTGCAAAAATTTGAATAAAAGAAATATTTTTTATTACCAAAATTTTACAATAATTGCAAATTATTTTTTATAATTTTTGCATAATTAATATATATTTTTATTTTAAATTAATACAATTGTTTATTTTTTATTAATTTAAATTAATTCGTTTGATATGTACGGCTGCTGTTTATCACTCTTTGTTTTAACGTTCTTAAGCTATCTCAGAGATTATTTTAAGTAATATACGAAAATTATTCACTTTAATATTATTTGAAAAGTTAATTAATTAGAATATAATTAATCTTTTTAAGCGGAAACGAGTTAATTAATATACTTGCATAAATGAAGATTGACTTCTAAGTATGCAGAATTTTTAGCATGTCTTCTTAAGTAACTTTAATAAATTTTTTATACTTATTTTTTTAAGGCATTTTGGTTACATTATTGATTGATTGATTGATTGATCAAGAATGAAATGGAAAAGGTTTTTTCCCCAGGTTGAACTTGTGATAAGCAATTTACGAGACAGGTTACGTTTTATCTCATCATCAGACTTGCTGAGTTGTATATAAAATATACAGTTGATAAAAACATATATGAGTTAGTAAATTGTAGCAATTAATGTCGAATTACGGAAACCACGTATTTACGTGAGTTTTCTTCATTCATTTTACAAATAAAGTAAATGAATTTTAATGTGAATGCATGATTTGTTAAAATGTTTATTATTTCTCCAGATATGTAAATTTTCTACTTCATTATGCTTGGTATATTATTGCTTTTATGACGTTGATCTCGATTTCTTTATCCACTTATTCAATCTATTTCAATTACAGTTCTTTCACATTTAATCCAACAATTGTAAGTTAATTATCTCATATTTTTTCTTTTTTTTTTAAATATGCAAATTTTGGCATAGAAATTAAAATAGTGAAAATATTTGTTATCAAAAACAAAAACGAAAAATAGTGTTACTAAAAATAAACATAAATATTGTATATTTTTCACTGTTTTAATTTCTATGCTAAAAATATTTCATTATCATTATTCTAATCACTAATGATTCAATGATAATACCAGTGATGCTAGATGATTAAATTAGTATTAATAATAAAACAATATTTGTAATTAGTATCGTTATTATTCGTATTAGTTTAATCAATTTAGGGATTCGAAACTCGCAATACATTCCTGTCAGATCAGCGCATAGCGCTAGATAATTTGGTGGATGTAACAGCTAAAGAAGAACACGTAAAACAAAAAAGTAAACGTGAAATTATGGCGCATAGAACGCCTTTAAAAAAGTCAGGAATTTATTAGTTATAATAGTTAATCGATTTGTACTGAGTGTAACTAATACAGCTGATCAGATGTGGAAGAAAAGAAGACAAATTTTCAGCAAGAATAATTTCACTGATTCCGACGAATATGAAGACTATATACAATCTTCGAGTAGCGATACAGAATTTGAGAAGACTGAAGTTGAAGTGGCACCTGGAGCGTGTCAGCAATATTTTGTTGTTGGCTCAGTGATACCTTCTGAAAGTATATTATTGATGTCAAAGCTAATCTTCAAAGTGCCATCTTTTACTAGTGTAAGTTATCGATTGATTGCTTTTTTCATCTACTGACTTATGGAAAATTGATCTGCATTCTTACTGTCAATTATTAATTGATTTTCTAATTGAATGCTCGGTAAATTAAATTATGAACTAATCAATCAATTTACAAATCTTTTTTATGCAAAAGGTTCAAGGAAATAGTATTTTTTGTACTACAAAAAGTGTTTATTTTTAAGTTGTAAAACTGAGTAAAGTGAATTAATAAAATAAATGTCAATACTATAAATTACTCGTGAATAATTATTGATTATACCAATAAGAAAGTAATGAGATGATATTTCAATAATTTTATTTAAATATTTTGAATAATTATTCTAAAGTGGTAGTAAATTACTTCTTTCATTGTTCAAATTATCAGGAATTATAGATTATGGTAGCATAACTGTAGTCATTATAGCAGTATGATAATATTTTTACAGTATTGTAAATTAAAGTGTTTTGCTTGCAGTTATTCACTATGTCAACGATGAAAAAATTATGTGCCATTGATTCAATTATTGATCATGAAATTGCTGTTAATGGATTAAATGATAGTAACTTTAAACGATTACCGTATTCATTTAATCTTCCTTATTATACTATGTGTCTGAATACAGAAATACCGTCAAACTCATGTGATTCACTCGATCTTGACTTGTAAGTTTAAGTAAAAATTTTTCCGTAATACTTTTTCACGTATGAAGTGGAAATTCCTATGTAAAATTATTACACGTATGAGGTGGAAATTCAGATGCAAAAATTATTGTACGTAGCAACAAACTGAAAAAGCCATCAAAACAGGCCAAAATAATTTTTTATAATATCTCAAATATGAAAAATCGTTTTAATTACTAATAGTATTTCACTTGCAATTTAAAAATTACTTTTAAAGTTTGGTATTTTATTATGCAATAAAAGGAATTAATGCATGAAATTTGTAACAAATTAATTTTTTAATTAAGCTCAGTGGTGGGACTGCAATTATTAATTTAATTAATTTATTTATTTTTAATAAAATTGATGGTCGCATTAATTAATATTAACAGTTAAAAGATTATAAGTAATTAATAAAGTAAATATGATAAATTTCTGATATGCATGGAAAGTAACACGATAATTTTTATAATTAAAGTGCTTTTATAGTAATTTATTTAAGCATAATTTTAAAAAAATAATTTTTCAATTAAATATTCTAGTAAAAATTTGAATTTGATAAATTTTTTCAAATAATTAGTGAATAAATATTTATTGCACAATTTAATTATTATATTAGAAAAATTAGTTACTACCATAATCTTAACTTTATTACAGTATCGAAATGTTTCAATCTCTTGTGTTAACGTGCAATTCGGATGATCCACCAAGTCAATGTCAGTTGCCAATTGCAAGGCAGCTTTCAAATATAATATTTGAAAAAAATAGTAAACATATAAGTGCTGATCAAGCGCTCCATATAGCAGTAATTTTACCGGTAATCACTAATAGTACAGTAGTTTGTATCTCATTTTGAGCTCAATATTTGTGCAGAATTTAGATCAAATCATCATTCTTAATAATTTGATTAATTCTATAAATCAATATTACGGATGATTTGATTTAAATAACATTTTAGTTTAGTATATTTTAGTTATTTAATATTTAATATTTTAGTTATGCTTACTACCATTATTATTACTAAAAACACGTCAATCATTGAATTTTTAATAACGATATTGATTTGCTGATTACTACTAATCTTCTAAGAAAGATTTGATTGCTTTGAAAAATGACTATTTTTAGAAATTTGATATTTTCTATCAGCAAATTATTGATTTCCAATATATAAATATTTCGAGCGTTTGAAAAATTTTTTTTTCAAATAATGTAAAAATTTGATGAAGTTTAATTTTTTCATATTTATAAAGCATAATAAAGCATTAGAAACTATTTCTTTGTATTAATAAGAATTCAGTTTCTTGTATTTTAAAAATTTTAATTTCACAAAATTTGAATTGTGATAGTGATAACTTGGATTGTAGTTGATCATTATAATGGTTAACTTACTGTAATTCCAGATTGTTCTTTCATTGGATGGTCATTCTCATTTAGATTTTTATTCCACATTACTTGAAAAATTGCAAAAGGAGTATAACACGGATGAGGTGAAATTACTTGGAGCACAATTTGGAGTTAAAGAAGGCCTTTTCACGCAAAACCTACGTAGTGACTCACGTTTAGGTGGCCTTGCTATATTATTTGTAATTTTTATTATTCTAGTTTATACTGATAGCTTTTTTTTCACCCTCTGTATTACTGCTGGATTAATATTATCTATCGGTGTGGCATTTTTTGTTTATACGGTAAGTTACTTTGATTACACTATATTGTTTTATTAAAAAAACATGAATTTTTAATGATTTTTACATGTGATACTGTAACTTCTGCAGTATTTTTAGCATTACAAATATTGTATCAGAAAAAATCACACATGCTGAATGAAAGAAATACATCAAAATGTACAAATATTTTATCAAGAAAAAAAATTTGCGCATTTTGATTAAAAACGAAAAAAGTTAAAAAATCAAATTGTAAATGATAAAAAAAATTAACAAAAAAGTTAAAAAAACAAAGTTAAAACTAAAAAATAACAAAGAGGTAATAAAAATATTAAAAATCAAGAAAATTTTTGTTATATTTAATTTTATTTATTCCCTCCAATTTTCACTTTCAAAATATAATATCAAAAGTAAAGTAAGTTTATCTATAACTGTAAAAGTAAAAATAAAACATACAGTTTCTGTAACTTTATAATAATATTTTTTCAAAGTATACAAAGTATTAATTGAGTATTATTCCTGTGAAATATGCATAATTGATATTGCCATAAATAAATCACTGATTCAGCTTATTTAATACTGAGAATAAATGTAATAAAGGTAGAGTTAGCGGGTAAAAGTTTTTAACTTGTAATTAAAATATTTATTTGATAAGTCTTCAAATCATTATTTAATTATTTTTTGTTCAAAAAAAGTTTGCAGTTCAAGTAAATTCAATTACAAAAAATTACTGTACAGCCTGAAATAATTTAAAATTGCTTAATTAAATTTTAGGTTGTTTTTGGAATAAAGTTTTTTCCATTTTTAAATTTGCTTGCAATGATTCTTGTGGTTGCAGTAGGAGCTGATGATGCATTTCTTTTCATGTACCAATACAGAAAACATAGAAAGGTTAATTATTTTATGCAAATTTTTGAACTGTAAGTATAGTAAAACAAGAAATTAATTTGCATAGTGTACTGTATATTGAGAGATTTAATTATTTTCTCCTTATTTTATCATAAAACTTTTCAAGATTTTTACTGTTTTGCTTTTTACTATTTTTATTTTATTTTACAAATTAATTTCTTCTTCTCAAAATTTGCATTACTTGCGAAAATTCTCACACTTTACAGTATGTTTATATAACTAATTAGCTTTAGTTTATAGTTTTTTGATTAAAAAACACACAAATAAAATATTTATTAATTATTTGATCATTACAATTTGTATACTGTAAAATAAATTAATACATACTAGCCAGTGATTTTTGCCGAAAATAAAAAAAATTTTTTTGAAAAAGGTCACAAAGTTCAAGATTATTGAGCACTAATTATGATTGACGTCATTAAGTTTCAAAGCTGGCTTTTCCATATGGCTAATATTTAAAACTTATGATGATTATTATTAAGCTTGTTTTTACCAAAAAAACATTGGCTAGTTTTTTTTTGGATTCTGTTAGATTTACTTAAAATATTACTGTACTGTTAATTTTTCAATTAATTAATGACAAATAAACTCAAGTATTAATTTGAAGAGCTGAAAATTATTTAGATAAAAATGTGAATTTAAAAATTATGCCACTTTAATATGCTAAATTATGCTCACGTAAACTTCAAGCTAAAAAAATTACTAGCATATCTGAATATAAGCGTAATTTAAATTCATTTGTTATCAATTTTAATGCATATAATTATTAAATACTTTTAATGGAATGTCAGGAAGCGAGCCGAAATTGGTCACCTGTACTAAATTGTGATATAAAAAATGAAAAAAACAAAAATGCAGATGAAGAGCAAGTAAGTACTTCAAATGAGATTAGTCAATTGATAAAATTTAAAAATTAATATTTTAGATCAAATATTGGCTTTTGAATAAATTGATCACTTATTGATGAATTGATTTTTTATTTTAAAATTAAAATAAACTACATTGTTTAATTTAATTGAAAACTGAAAATTTTTTCAAATTAATATTAATAATAATAGTGTAGGAATAAATGTTATTAAGTATCATTTTGTACAGTTTACTAATCATTCTCGATACACGTAATATTTTACGTATCAAATATTTTTTACGTAAAAAATAAGTTAAATTTTTTAGCTTTTGGAATATCGTCGTCGACAAGTAATATCAGGTCTTACTGACGCACTTTCACACGCAGCAATTGCTATGTTGGTTACGTCTGCTACAACTGCTGTTGCATTCTTTGCTAATTTAGCATCAAAAATTGTTGTTTTAAGGTTATTTTGTTTTATTTTAAAATTTTTTAATTAAAAAATTTCTTTAATAAAAAAATAAATTTTAATTATAATAATTAAAAAGTTGGCGTATTTGGAAATTATGATAAAATTTGCGCAATAAAACTTTTTTCTAACAAAAATAAACGGTTGAAATAATAAATAATTGCAAAATATTTCAATGTAAAATTTACAAATTTAGAATTTATTTCAAAATTAGTCCAAAAAAAAAACAATATTAGAAGTAGTTTTAGAATTTTTTTAAAAAACCAAAAAAGAAAAATACAAAATAAATATTCACTAAAAAATTTATTTTAGTTGAATAAAATACTCAAAAAAAAAATGCAGAAAAACAAAAAACAGTTTTTACAATATTTTTTAACAAAAGCAGAAAGTATATTTTAAAAAATGAAATAAAATGTTCAAATCATTCTGATCTTCAAAAAATGAGTAAAATCAAAAAAATCAAAAATTTTTAATAAAAAATCAAAAAATAAAAAAAATAAAATCGAGATCATTTAAAATAAATAAAAAAATTAAGTAAATGAAAAATTGAAATGAAGTATAATCAGCAAATCTAAAATAAACAAAAATTTTAATAAAAAACAATTTTTTTAAATCCAGAATATGGTATCTTCAGATGTTTTGGTGTATACGCTGGTACGATGATGCTAATCAATTACGTATTTGTAATTATTATATTACCAGCTGCCATAATTGTTATTGATGTAAAAGTAAATTCAGTTGGTTTATCCAAATTTGGAATGTCAAACATAAAATCAAAACTTTCTGGATTTTGGCATGTATCTGCACTAAAATTTGATCTTGCATTCAGTAAAATTATCCCTCAAATTGTATCATACATTCGTATTCCATTAATACCATTAGCATTACTTGGATTTGCAATTTCTGTTTATGCAATTATTGTAAAACCTGGAATTCGATTACCAGAAAAAAATTCCATGCAGGTTTGTAGTCTATCAAATTGACAAGAATTGAATAATTATTAAATTTAATTTTTTATTAATTTAAATACCGTTAGCTAAAGATTACAAAGTTTACTTTGATTACTCATATCTTTTTCAAAATTCATAATTTTAATTATGTAAGCAATAAAAATTAGAATTTATTGCTGAAAAAATATCACAAATGTATCTGATTAATGAAAAACTTGAAAATTTTTTTGAACTTATTTTTTCAAAATTTTATTTGAAGCTTAGAGTTGGGTGATTTTTTTGATTTGTATTATTTTTAGATTTTTCTTATTATTTATTATATTACTTATTGTTTTAGCATGGATGAGATTCTGTATTAACTTTATTAAACAAAAAGAAATCTGACTTCTTTGATTTTAAATGATCAATCAAAAACCATAGATATGAATTCAAAAAAAAAAAATGAAAATTTGAAAAATTTTTACTAAAAATAACAAACTAAAAAGTTTTCAAGAATTTTTTGATTATTTTTAAAAAATTTTTTATATTATAAAAATTGATCAAAAAATGAACAAATAATGTATAGTAATAAAAAATAAAAGTTGATGAAAATAAAACAATTTATGAAAAAAATTTAAAATTGAAAATTTAATGAAAATTATTATTGAAACAATTTTAGTTTCTACGCTCTAATCATCCGTATGAATGGTTTGATGAAAATGCTGCAAGTTTATTTGATTTTTCAAATGGACAACAGCCTAAAATGACTGTAATCGCTGTTTGGGGCATTAAACCTACAACGTTAGTTCTATAATTATTAATTTATAATCTTTTGAAAAATTGACCGATATTTTTGTTACTTGAAATTTTATTATTAGTAATTAATTTAAATTTCTAGCAATTATTTTAATTAAATGACTTTTTCAGTTGAGTTTTTTTTTTAATTTATTAATTTTAAATTAATTTCAATTAATTCTGATGAATTAGAAAAAATTATTTGTATTGTATTGCTTGAATACGTTATTAACATCGAAAACTGAAAGACTAGTATTATTAATTTGTTGAATTTTGGTTAATAATTAATTGAATTCTATTAAAAAAATAATTGATAATTAAATTTATTGATAATCATAATTTTAAACAGAATTTGTGGCTGATTAATTTTGATTCATAAATTTATATAATTTATTAAATTTATAAAATTTATAAATCAAAAATGCAGAAAAAATTATACAAATTTATATAAATTTTATAATTTTTTTTTTGCACAAAAATTTTGAATTAAAAACTCATTGCATTAAATATTTGATAAGCACTTTACTGTAAATTATAACTGAATTTATTTCATTACTGTATATTTAATTTGTTTTAAATAGTATACTTAATTTGTTTTAAATAGTATACTTAATTTGTTTTAAATAGTTTAAAGTAATATCTTTAGCAGCGCAAGTAGTCTTATGCCAACAGATAATGGATTCCTTGATAGAGATGACGGATTTCCTGATGCATTAGCAAATCATCTACATGAATTTCAAGTATATTTACTGATGATGCAAAAATTTTGCAATTAAATCTTTTTTATGAAAAATAAAAATTGAATTGAACTGATAATTGTTGAAAAGAGAAAGACCTCTGCCCTGAAAATATTGATAAAATTTTAATGAAATTAGTTGAGTTAATTAACATATAATGATTTGGACTTTATTTAATACTATATTATATGATACTGTAGATGATGTCACATTTTTTCAAAAAAAATTTTTTTAAATAAAAATTCAAAAAGTTATTTAAAAAAAGTAACACAATTACTTTTTAAATTTTGATAATTTTTCAAAATTTTTCAAGAAAATTTTTTTTTGAAAATTTTTAAAAATTTTTTTGTGTTATTACAAGTTAAAGTATGAATAAATACAAAAAGCAAGGAGAATTCTGTAGAAGCATTGTATGACCATGAAATGCTCCAACCAAAAACTTTTTTACCGTAAGCTTAAAAATTAAGTTAAAATTCTTTAGTAATAGTTACAAATATTTTTTAGACAATATTTGTTCAAATGGATATAATTATTTAATTATTTTCAGACTTTACTTAAACAAGTAAATTCTGAAACAAATCCTGATAGAGAAGAAGCCAAGTTATGGTTAGAGGATTTTATTAGTTGGACTAGATTGAATACAACTTCATCAACTTGTCGATTATTTGATGCTAAGCAGTCTCATATTACTACAGCTGTTTGTATTTGAATTATTTTTAGATGAAAAATGATGGTTTTTTGAAACCAAATTTTAATAAAATTAATTTACGCTATTGGTCGAAAATATATTCATTTTGAATAAATGTTTCTTACTGTAAGCATTTCATTTCATGTGCTGTATAAACTTACTCTCAGTACTGTAACTTGTATAATTTTTATAGGCAACAAAACTTGATGGTGATATGCTTTCTCGATGTTTTCTAATGTACGGTCTTACTTCTTCACTTCCCATATTCAATGAATTACAATTAAAAAATAGTGATGGACCAATTTTTAATCGAAATGGTGAATTTCTGGGTTATTTTATGCTGGCACAAAGTTCGTACAACTTTTCTACAGTTTTTCATGAAATGAAACCATTTTTCGATTTTTTAAATGATGTCCGAAGCACGGTTCAAAGGTCACAAATATCGGGTAAGTAATTATTTTACGTATTGAAAATAGTAACAGTTTTGGAAAAGCATAACTCACAAGTGATACTTGTCTGCTTATTAATCATTCTACTTACAGTTATATAGATCAACAAATTATAATCATTAATACTTGTAAATAAATGCGAGCAATATTAAAAGTTAGCTTTTTAGGTAAAATTGCTATATTAAGTACTATTATTTTAATTAAATAAGTAATAAATACTAGTAAAAATTACTGCAGTTAATAATTATTGCATTACTATTTTAGATCAGAAAAAAATCGGCATTTTTATATTTAAGTTATTTTTGTTCATATTTGTAAATAGCTTTTGTTACTAAAGAGGACGGTGAATTGGTATGATTTTATGGCAAAATGGTACAGATATTTTTTTTGTTAAGCAGAGATTATAAATAAAACGGTATCAACTTGCCATTTTTTTCACGCAATCTCTTCCTACAACGTTTAAACTTTTTTAAGCAAATATCCTTTATGTTATAAAGATTACAATTATCATCTATGTTATAATAATAATAATAATAATAATAATAAATAATAATAATACATTCGATTAAATATTGCTTGCAAATATTTATAATTATGAACAAAATTATTATTTTTATGATGCTATTAATAGTATTAAAAATGATAGATTCGATTGTTGCAGAATTTGGTCGTCCTATTATACTAACTAGTCGTCAGATGACAAAATTATACGATTTATTAGAACGGATTTTAAATGGTACTGCGGTATCAGTGCTAATATCTTTGGTAGTTAGTATGGTGGTTATTGTTTTCACCACTTTTCATTTCACTCTTTCGTTTTTAGCTATTATATGTATTGCTTCTGTTGTTGCTATGACAATTGCCGCTGTTTTATGGTTAGGTAAGTTTTAGAATAGTTATGATTACTGGATAACATTTTTATACCAAGATGCTTCTGTTAAATTTTTAATCTTATTTATTCATAATTTTAAAGTTATTGCTAAAATTTTTTAATTGCTTTATATTAACTAACAAAAATTTTCAAAAACTGGTTTCTACGGTAATTTACTTTTCATTTTTCAAAGGTTGGACAGTAAATGTCGTTGAAGCAACCATTATTGTACTAACAATAGGGATGAGTTTTGATTACTGTCTTCATTTTGCCGTTGGCTTTCGACTTCATGGAACCAATGATTATAGGCAAGTTTTCTGTAAAGTTACACGTAACTTTTATTTGAATCACACGTCTAGCAAGCACATTTTGATTTATGTAAGTATCTATATACATTTTAATCGAATTATTAATATTTTTATATTTATTTTAATCGCAATCAGTAATTTAGATAATTGACTTGTTAAGTTTTTTCTATCTTTTTACTATTTTTATGGTATTAATTACAGTACGATAAATACTTTATGACTTAGTAAATACAGTGTTTCATACCATAATCATAGCATGCAGTAAAAATTTAATTTTCACCAAAAATTTATTAAAATCAGATATACAATAATCTAATCTTAAAAAATTTATACATAAGAAATGATGTTCCTTCAATTTAGTATGGTTGCTTCTACGGTAGGTATTCCGGTACTGTTAGCTGCAGTGTCATCATTCGTTGCGGGATTAGCTTTGATCGGTGCTTCAACTCAAGCATTTTTCGAGATTGGTGTTTTTTTAATTTTTATGACTACAATAAGTTTCATAGTTGCTGTGTTTGTCTTTCCTTCGATGGTAACATTGTTTTTGCAAGGTTGCTCATCACACCAACGAACTACCATTACACGTCTCTAATTGATCATACTTAATTGAGTGGATCTAACATTATTAAAATTTGTGGTTGATTTTTTTGTTTGTATACGAAAAATTATAAATAAACATTTTTATCATGAAAAATTTCCATATTTTCTAATAAAAGTATTGTATAGTCACACAGCTTCCTATTAACACAACTCATACATACATCAATGATTTATTTTTAAACTGTATAAGACTTGAACATTAAAATTTTTGTACAAGATATAAATATTCAAATTTTTCATGGATATATATTTTTTTGAATATTCAAATTTTTAATTCCAACAAAAATTGTATATAACTTTTTTTATATTATTCGCAATTCCATTCATGATCAAATTGTTTCGTTGTAAAAAAGGAAGAAATTTAAAATGAATACAGAAACAAAGTCTGATTATACCATTATTTTTGGCTGTAGTAGATTGAGAATGGTTTTCTTAATTAGCTGAGAAAATTGAATAATATTCATACTTTTTCTACAGACTGCAATAAAGTGAGAGGTCAAGTCAAAAATGAAGCTAGAAAATTGAATTATTTTTAGAATTCGAATAAAGTTCTTAAAATACAGTAATTACCATTCCATTAATAAAGATAATTAATTATATGGGTGATATAAAGGTCATGTAAGTTTAGAGAGACAGAAAATGAAGTCTACTGTGATAATGAAAATTCACAGGTTCGACGTTTAGCTGCTCATATTGCTCAACAAGGTGTAATTGATGACTGGAAGGTGGGAAAAGTAATCGGATCAGGTGATCAGTACTGGTTGCGATTTTCATTTTAACGTAGAGCTTGATAATTAAAACTTGAAATTTAAATTGTAAAGTAATTATATATTTGCCTATTATTTTCAGAAATTTTTTACAATATATGCGTTAATACAAAAGTAATTAAATAATGAAATCTTATGGTAATTTAAGGCACACTGCTAAATGCGAATATACTTTACTCCTGATACAACCAGTTAAGATAATTTGTTCTAGTTACGACATTACAGTAACTTCTTACAACTTTAAGTAGTTACAGCTATAGTATGTGAAAACATTTTATTAGATTCCCATGAGTTCATTCCTCTGTAATTACTGTAAAAGAATATATGAACATTTATAGGTGCGAATGGTATGGTTGTTCTTGTGGAGCATTTAAGAACCCATATAATAGCTGTAATGAAAATTGCGGTGAACCTTAGATCATCGGGTTCACTTTATTGGGAATGGGATGTACTAGAAAAAATAATGAAAGTGTGTCTTTACCTTATTACAAATCATGATGTTAACTTTATTGTTGAGACTGATTTGTAGAATAATTCTACTACATTTCTATGGTAACATGTTTTCTTCTGTTCAATTCCGGCTACTGCAAGGAATAATTGATGGATGCTAAGCATAAGTTATCATTCTTCATTGCTTTGTCAAAGTAATTAGTAAAATTTTACTTATCCACAATTAGTACAGTCTGATAATAACGAAGATCGTACGCGACATTTGGTACGACGTATAGATTTCGGACATACTATCAACATGGATGGACAAAAGGTCTGATTTTTGAAAATTAGCCAGCAAATCTTAGTGAAATAGAATTACCTTCAAGTATGTAGCACACGAGATAAATATCCTTCCTTGAATAATTACATTTGCAAACTATTTCCCAGGTAAGCTATATCGTGATGGAGTACTTACCTGGAAACCCTGTTGGCATTATTGGTACTTTAGAATCAAATGAACGTCTCTCAAAAGTTGCAGAGTTTGGTCTTCAATTGCTCAAAGTGACTTCTGATTACTATTTTCTTTTTATTAGAGATATCAGAAACAAATTAAGAAGTTGTCTATATTTTGCCAATATTCCAACATTGTTCCTAAAAGATGGTTCCTTTGAAAAGCGTTAACTATGAATGAATCAGGCTATATATGATTTACACTATCTCGGCTACGTTCATCGTGATATCAAACCTGAAAATGTTGGATTGTATGGTAAGAACACGGTAGTACTATATGATCTTGGATTGGCAAGATTTTACACCAACCAGGAGGGTAAAGTACGCGAACCTCGTTGTATGTGTGGCATGCGTGGTACCGATGAATGGGCAAGTTTATCTGCAGAATTAGGGAGAGATCAAGTTAGCTTGATATGAATTTTGAAACAAAACGCTGAAAGTAAAATAATGCTTTTTTTAATATTTTTGATGCAAACAATTATTATCAACAATACAAACAATTGAACAATACAAAAACTGAGAGCATTTCTCTTATCAGATATTTACAATATTTATTTTCACTTAATAGGGACGAATCGATGACCTTTGGGGTTGGTTCTATGTACTGATCGAGTGGGTTAATTGTACTTCCAAATATCCATTATGCTGGGCACCTTTTGAAGACCAGCCAGATTTACGACACTTATGCAAATCATCAATATTCCCCGCAAAATATGTGCTTCGTAATTGTCCACCAGAGTTCTTTAAAATACAAGTAAAGTTTTCAGTTTAGAAAAACGGATGTGCAGACGTTTCATGAGGAAATCATACGTTATCACCTATTTCCCATACTTGATCCGTAAAATAATTTTTACTGTAAATTTTATCAAATATGCAACTTTTTCATTATCAGAAATCTTTACAAAAAAGTTACCATCAGCAATCGGAGAAATCAGATATTACAGTGTTATTTACGATGTCTGGGACGAGATGATTCACCTAATTACTTTTACTTGGCTACATTATTAAAAGATGTGAAAACACGTGCAGAGAGCATATATGCAATAGAACGAACCCAAGATATTGCAAAAGAGCAATTAGAATCAGATTCGCGAGTGAAGCGCCTCTCACAACTTGAACTTGAAGAATTCTAGATACAATACGTAATTGTTTAGAGAACGTGATTCAATCAGATTTTGAATAAAAAAGAAACAGAATCAGAACTTTAAAGTAGTTTCATGAATAAAGACTAATAGAAGTTTAAACGACATCGTTCGAATATTAAAACTCATCATAAAAGTCAGATGCCGAGCACGCTACTATTTCCTTCATCATTCCTAACCCACAATTCAGGACTGATCAAACTTTCCATTTCATCATCTGCATAATTTCCTGAAATTTATAATATCAAGCATTTGGAAAAATAACGATTGCAGTGTTTTGCGTGGTTTACGTAAATATATTCTTACCCACCATTCAAATTCAAATTTAGAATGCTCGACAACTATAAAGAAAATAAATTAAAATCAAAGGTGAGGGAATATGACGAAAATATGAATAAAAAATAAGCCAAAAATGCACAATTAGTCAAACTTATTGTTTCGCCTTTCCGATAAAACTATTAATATCAAATAAAACTTTGAATCAAAAGTATGAATCAAATTATACCTCGACTTTTACGTGGGAAGCATTTGTCAGTAATAAGATGCAAATCTTTAGCATACTGCATACGGTGATCCTCAATAAGGCTTTCATTACCATCATGGCATGCCTTTACATGCTTAATTACATCGGATTTTGTTATTGTAGTCCAAGTTTTTTTACATTCACGGCAGAAGAACATTGGCAAGCGTACGTGCCTGAAAAAAAAAATACAGGACGTACAATAATGTCACGAATAAAAAAATAGTAAACCAAGATAGTCGGGAAATCTGAGAAAAAACTACTGATTCACAACTATAATTATTACATTTAATAGAAGCATTTACTTGGAATTAGCGTGATAAATTAGTGATGAACGTTGTCCAGTAACCTGAAGACCACAAATATTGCAAATTCGCGGTGGTCTAGAACGTTTTCTTGCTTGCGTGATATATTCGCTAGTAGATGTCAATCCAGCAGCGTGATCTATCTCATTTTGATCACAAACAAGTCCCGTAACAACAGTAGTACTGGCAGTCTCATTATGATACAAATCAGTCAAAATATTCGCTGAAAATTTTTTAGAATAGCTAATAAGCAAAGCATGATGATTCTGGCGTTTATATCATGCAAATTTTAGCTGAAGCTAAAACCAATCACCCACCAATATTTACTGGTTCTGAATCGTGTCGTGAATAATCAGCTGCACATGAACTGGGCTGTACATCTAAATCCTTTTCCTGAGCACTGTTATCCGGCTCCATTTCAGTGTTCTGAAAACTCTTCTTTCAAATTATATCTATCCAACTGAACGAAAAAGTAATCAAGTTTTAATGATATGATGATTTTCACTTTTCAAAAGTATACATATACATAATAAGATATAATTGAAAATGTACTTTAGCATCTCCGAATTTGGCCTCTTTTTCATTTTCAATGCCACGATTGAGTTCATCAGAATCCACTGAAGTAGTGGTGCAAGGCTCTCCGGTAGAGCTAGGCAATGAACAATCGTTCAATCTGAATATTCTCAAATTCAAAATGTGCTAGCAAAAATCTTGTGTACAAGTTTTTTGTTCTGAGCTCATATAAGCATGTAAACACAGAATTCTGCACTTTCACAAGGAACTGTAAAAACAAACTTTCGTCGTTTGACATTTGCAAATGGAATTTTTGATATAGTAATGGACTGTTGTAACATTTCTTTGATTTGTTCACGCTTACGATGAAAATCCGGTGTAAGCTTATATTTAACCTAAAAATTATGAGAAATATATTAAAGATTTTAGCACTCATTTCCATGCTAATAATTGAATATAAGGAAGGAAAAGTTTAAAAGTATGATAAGAATCAAAGGAATTCAAAAAGGAAGCCAAAAAATAAACTGTGCTAGTTCAAGTCCATCTTTTCTACACTTACTACAAAACACTATTTGACGACTTGTTTCTCATAATAAGTATATATGACATTACTCTTAAGTATACAATACTAAATTTTATTTTGCAACCTATTATTAGTGAAATAGAATAATAAAATAACATAAAATTTTCAAAACACAATAGAAACTAATCAAATAATATTTAATAAAGAAAAACTTCAGTTTACCGTTTAAAACTGATTTTATCACAAATCAGAATCTGCCATAAAAAGTTGTAGTCTGATTTTTGATATTACATTACAACATAGCAACCTAGACTTTTTAAAATAAAAACCATGACTGGACAATCATAAATGTCGCAAGTCTCCAAATAATCGGACAGTAAAATTTACAGTCTATATAACTTGATTAAAGCACGAGTAAAATGTTATAACTTACATAAAACTCTTTTAACCCATGATCAACAGTGCAGTGAATGATTAAAGCAAATTCTGTTGGAAATTTAGAGAACCGACACCGTTCACACTCGTAGGGTACATGGCTGATATGATCTGCGGCTATGTGAATCTCTAGTTCTTCCAAGCAATCAAATGGAGATGCTGATAAGGGACAACCGATGCAACGAAACATATCGTTAAAAAAGCACCAACAATTGGATAACTCTGAAATACTGATATTTTGATTTTATACTTTAAACTATTAACCAAAAATGGCTAAAAGTGAAAAATTGAAATTGTTTCGTAAATATTACTTTTTAAAAAGATTGTTCAAAAATATCATGAGCAAAAATTTTCCAGATGCAGGAAACAATTAATCCGGAACTACCGGCATATGCATGATTGCAAACACCGGAGTAATGAGCGCGTGGAATACTGCACCGTATTGGACCCAAGCAAATGAAATCGGGAAGCACTGAAAAATATGGAAGTATATGTCAGCAGTAAGAATTAAGTTTCATTTCAAAATAAATTTATCAGCAGAAAAAATACATATTTTGCAGTTATATGGCAAGCAATCCAGAAAAATTGTGAGAATTTTTTAAAGAGTTTTTTAAATTCTGAATGTGATTAGTTTCAAATTAGTTATCCCAGAAGAAAATTCAGATGCACGATTCGCCATAATTCTGCCTACCATTCATAAACTTTTAGATGTATTGCAAACGAATAAACATCATTATTAAGAGCTTTGCTGAATTTTCATGCTCTGAAGAATAACTGAAAAACTTTTAAAACCATAATTTGCAATATTCAAAAACAAATAATTCCAGTTCTTAGAGTCCTAATTTGAAATACTTAATTATAAATATACGCATTCAAACTGCCATATAACAGATATAATAACAACTTCAATTATTTCTAGTATTAATGTTTGAATAAAATATAACAAAAACTATGACATACGATTTTTACTGTAATTATTTGCTGATAATAATAGTAATTACGTATACTCAAAATATGCTTAATAATTAAAGAGCAAACATCGTTAACAAGCGAACAAATATAACAGAAATAAATTTTCATAAGTTTGAACAGAAGAAACATATGCGTAGGAAACAAAAACTAATATTAAAATAAAACCAAAATTAAAAAATTAATAATTTGAGGCATTTTAAATTGAAGTGTTTAATATAATTAGCATGGAATTTAATAGAAACCGAAAAAAAACATTGGCGTTTTATAAAGATGAAAGATAAGATTGACTCTTAAGTGGGATAAACTACTGAACAAAAGTGACTATTGATTCAAGTATAACCTTTGAACTCTTGACTTTGCACTGAATAAGAAAGATGGAAAAAATTTGCAACAGGGCTAGAAAAAAGTCAAATATTCAAAGGCATAGTTGGACAATGTTAATATCAAACAGCCAGTAATTGATCATAGCAAACAAAGCTTGTATAAAACTGCAGTAAAAAGGAAAGGTTAAAGGTCGAGGGTAGATGGAAGAATGAAATAACTATTCAAATTTCAATTCAAATATAAATAATAAAATTAGGGAGAGGAATATAATGCATCTTACAATAATATATAAATACCAGAAATGAAATGATATTTATCTATAAATTAGTTAATTCGAAATTGATTTCAACAAATGAAGTACTAAATATAAATGATCTTGCATTTTAGTACAAACGAAAAATAAGAAATAAAATAATTATAAAATAATTCAAATTTAGGAACCACATATATATTTTATTTGTAGAACTTTTTTGGTAATAGTTCTTTCTTTTTTTCCGTTCATGCACATCCCATAAACATATTATTGCATGTATGTAAAAGTATATTCAAAGATCGAAGCAGTTCAGAGGTTTCTTGATGTGGTAGGATTAGAGATCAATGAAGAAAAATCAACCACTAGCACCGAGGTACGCGCTGATAAGGCGTGCTTTTGAAAGGAGCTCGAGAGTATAAGTACTTGGAATAGTAGAAGATAGAACTGAGGGCACTTGCCCGCGAAAGCTACGATACAGTTCGAGCAGAGATTTAGTGGGAATTGAGCAATTAGCCAAAACTGTACTACACGGCAAGAACTTTATCAAGGCGGTGAATGAGCAAGCCATAAGTTTAATTAACGTATTACATTGGGATGCTCAAATTGGAACCAGAGGATTTTCAAGTAATTGACCATGATGTCAGGAAGTTATTTAATATGGGCAGAATTCAAAGTTTATCTGTATATTTAGACTGCACCTGCCAAGAGACGAGCTAGGACATGGACTTTATAATGTTGAGAAGAGAATGAGCTTAAGCTTCTCCAACTTCATAATGTTCATGTAGATGCCACGGCCATATCGAACAGAAGACAGCGATTCTGAAGCAGGAAAAAGCTCACAACACGTACTTGGCAATTATTGTGCTCTATCTAAAGACTACGTACAACCTCGCAGAAAATCCTACCGTTGAAAACGTATTAGCAGCCCAGAAGGCGTTCTTGTATAGCGAAATAGAAAAGAAAACCCATTTGCAAAGCTATACAAGATGCAAACGAATAACATCACGTCCATAGTTGATTCATCAAAATGGCTGCGATACGGAAGTACTATCCGCAAGATGGGACACGATACTGTAACCTCCAAGATAGAAATATGTTTGGAGCTGAGAAAAGTATGTGCCAACATTGTAGGGAACGTATGAAGACGGTGACCATCTAGCAACGCAGTGTGAGAAAATGTTATATCATAACTATACTAGAACACACGATGAGATTCTGCGATGTATTCATTTAGTGATCTGCAAGAAGTATGGTCCGAAAGCATTCCCGCGCTTGCAAAGCCATTCTGTTCAGGAGGTCATCGTGAATGAGAACGTTGAGATCAGAGCGTATACGCGAGTGAGAACTGCAATCAGAATGAAAGTGGATTGACCGGATATCCTGATACACGATAAGAAGCGACGTGAAGTAACCGTGACTGAGTTGGCATTACAACAGGTTGACTGCAATCGAAATGGAGAAAATGCGAAAGTATTGGATCAGATATGAAAAATACGTCAGGAAGATTACTGCGTATGTGATGACTCCGGATGGGATTGTAACAAACTTCCATAAAGGCTACACGAATTGAATCAGTATATCTGATCATGTCGAGGCATACATTCAATCGATAGTGCTCTAGAAAGTCCTAATGCATCTCGTTCGATGGGTTTCACGAGAACGAAGCAGCGGAGATGAGCACAGCGGAACTGAGCGCAGGGTGTAATACAGCGAAAGTGCCGGAATACGATCCAACGAGAGAATCAATAATGCGTCACTGATGGAGAAAAGAAAGACTAACCTCGATAGTGAATGACGTAATGATTATACATATATATGGCCCCTAAATCATATAGAATGTGTCAACAAGAAAATATCAGTTTAGAAATAAATGTTTGGAGGAAGGAGTGAGCTCATGCAGTTTTATTTCAATTTATTGAAAAGAGGAATGAAAAAGAGAGAAAATAAAAATGGGAATAGAATAGAAGGAATTAAAAGGAATGAGATGGGGAAAATAACGCATAGAAGAGGGAGAAAGCACAAGGGAATAGTATGGAAGAATGAAAAAGAATAAAAGAAATAGAAAATAGAAGAGTGGAAAAAGAGGAAGTCAGCTTGTTAAAAGCTGAGCATAGAAATTGATGAGAGTATATTGAATGATTGAGGTGTTAAAGGGAGGACGCAGAGCGGTCGGCAAATTGAGGGACAGGAAAGTGCTATCGAATACGCTACTTTCCATCTTCCTTTATTTTACTAGCAGTTATTGATTTACCTATTTGAATTGTATTTGGTCTATTCATTCATTCATTCATTTATTCATTCATTCATTCATTCATTTATTCATTTATTTATTTATTTATTTATTCATTCATTCATTCATTCACTCATTTATTTATTTATTTATTTATTCATGCATCTATTTATTCATTCATCTATTCATTCATGCATTTATTCCATTCATGTATTCATCCATTCATTGTATTCATGGATTCATTCATTTATTCACCCATTCATGCAATTAATCTTTCACGTATTTATTCTTTTATTATTTATATATTTTATTTTGCATTCATTTATTCATCTGTCCATTTATTTTTATGCATTTATATATTTATTATTTCGTGTATCCTATCGATTATTAATTATTAAATTAACAGATCTGTTCATTCCCTTAATCAGTTATTCATCTATTTATTGCATTGTATTATATCGTGTCACTAACGTAATTTTTGAAGACAAAGCATAACAGATCACGTGAAAATTTAATGTATATACGTCATATGAACAGATTTTTTATATATTGTAGCAGTTACGGAAGCTAGAATTACCACGATTGTTAGCACCAGACTTGCCCTCTCATAGATCTGCGTCAACAGATTCAAATTTGTACTCATTCTGCTTCAAAAAAATCGATCTCGTTATCACATCAACAGTTAATAATTTAAAGGTATTAGATAATTTACGTTTAGTTTTGAAAGTAATATTCAGTGACAAAATCAACGCTAAATCTACGTCTAATACTAGTTTGCCTATATTCAGCTTCAAGCTGTGCAGTATTGAATATGAAACGAAAGTGCTGAGTAAAGTTTTTGAACCATTCAAGAACTTTATCCAGCAGTTTCGTTTCTTGTTTCACCAAAAACTAACACTTCTACAACTTCCATTTTTCTTCAGCAAGAACCATCATTATTTCAGCAGAAAGCACCTCTATACTACTTTTAATTTCAACTTCAACTTCATTTCAAGTAGTACATCTACATTTAGTGCTTCGTCATTTTTCGTTGATAAGTCAAAATAACTTACTGTTATTACTACTTTGACTTTAGCAACGATTTATTATACATTATTATTATATGTTTTCTGTGAATTACCTTATACTTATCAAGTAATTTATTGCTCAAAATCTTTAATGAAATTATCATTTAATTAGTTATTCTAATTTTCATATTCATTAAAATGACTGAATAAGGATGACTAACTTTCCATTTGTTGTAACCATACATTGACAGAACTGAATATCTCATTTTATTACTACGCTAAAAACTAAAATGATTACTATTTTGCGCTATCTCAGAACAATATCTGAGAGATTTCGAACGTTTTTGGCTTGTTTTTTGTTTCACTAATTAATTTATTTTTGGTATCGTAGAGATCCTTTGCTCATAAATAATAACTGGACCAAAAGTATATATTTATTTACAGATTTAACCAGTTAACTGTATCGAAAGCATTATTTGTGGTGTAATCTTCTACAATTATACTTTTGTGGTAATCTGTATCTGTCTATATATACATATTTACAAGCTTTTGATGTGTAAACATTTCGGATTGGTAAGTAACGCTGATCACGTTACTGGATCATTGCATGTATTTGTACCAGGTTCCTTATTTTTTCTTTTTTGTCAATATTTTTGAAAATTTTGATCAAAGAGTTACGAAAAAGTTTGAGGCCAAAATATGTTTTTTCATAGATGAATTGAGAAAGAATTGAATTTTTTTAATTTCATCAAAAATTACGTTGTATAATCAGTAAAAGAATATGAAATTAGCTATATTCAATTTGTAATAATGAATTGAATTTCTGAAGTTTTAGAGTCACTTCAAAACCTTTTGACAAAAGATTTACAGGTCGGCATCCGGATTTTGTTTTCTCTTCACAAGAACGGGTAGGAAATTCCAAATTGCAAGTTGGCGATTTTGTATCTTTCGTTGAAGTTGGTGGTGTTATCAAATCGCTTTCTAGGATTGATGATGTTTTCGAAAAACGTCATAAGAATGGTGTTTTGCAGGTTGCTATTGTTATATTTATTCCCAAAATGCATTTTACCCCTCTTTAATAAGGATTTGAATAAAAATTCCAAGTCTATGAGTGCTCAGAATTTAACTCATAACATCTTTTTAATACATTTGATCTTTAATGTTGTTGATATCGTATTATCAAGTAATCATTGGATGATTTAATATTTTGTTGAAAGTAGTGTGCTAGTTGTAAATCACAGATTTCATTAAGGTGTAAGGTTTATTTTATTGGTAGAACATATCAGTTTTATATATCTTTATGTATTAAGGAATCAAATTTTTGATTTGTATCATTTATAATGCATAAACATAATTTGAGCAGTATTTTGGTTTGTGCAAATTAAGTGTACATTATAATTTGCTTAAGTTTTAGGTAAAAGTCTCTGTAGCTTTCCCACCAGAATGCACTCATCCGGAAACTGGTTTGATGTCAGGAATGCTTGCGTGGTCTCCTGATTTCGCGTTCATAGGATGCCTTGATATTTGTGTTTCTGATTATAATTCTAACCAAATGTACATGGCTTGGATTCAGAGGTGTGTTTAACTTATATCATGATGTGTTTAGTTATCGAAATAGAGTAATTTTATCAGCTGTGCTAGATTCATCTTTGTTATCCTACGGGGATACACGTTTGCTTTTCTTAATATAAAATTGTCATTAGTTGCTAATTATTCATCATCTGAACTCTTGTATTAAATACTTCTTTAAGATCCAAATTAGTGCATTTAGAATTAGAAGTGTGCCAGATTAGTTGTGGCTGCTCATCTCAAAAATGTGTTGCAGGGTCCCTGAAATGATGAAAACTGTTAACGGGATTCAAGTATCTTGGGAAATAGTTGGTGGTGTATTCGATGAATGTGATGAGGAGGTCAAAAAACTCATTTTCACTGCGGTTTGCATTAGACATCAATTTATGTATTAATCTTCATTTACTGAAATACAAATTATTGATGGAACTTTCAATCACAATTACCGACTGTCTGGGGAAAACAATGCTTTATATGTAATTCATATCTTTTTAGGTTTATGTTATCGTGTAATGATTCTTTTCAGTTTGAAAATTTGCTTTTGGAACTCAAAGTATGTTTGTTTAGCCTTGGAATGATAGAAACCACAAATACTATTCGCAAATGCTTCATTCTCACGTCTCTCGAAATAGAAAAAGAGTGAAAAAAAAGACGAAAACTTCTAATAAGAAACGATTATCAAAACAAGGACGAAATTCCCTACATGGAAGAACAAAATTTCCTCAAAAGTGTAATAATATTAAAAACCTGAAAGATGAGGTTTGTAGTTTTTCAGTTCAAAATTCTGCAAAAATCAGATTATTAATTGAGTAAATTTCTTGTAGACATTTTATCTTTGGATTATATTATCAAGTGGTACGCTTAAGGAATTTTTCTTCATTAAATCTGTGAACGATTATTTTAAATAAATTGGGATGTATAATGTGAATGGTAGCAAATACGACTTCACAATGGACGTTTTTTTTGCTAACATGCATCTACATGAATTATTGCAGTATGCCGGTTGTTACGAAGGTCTGGTGACAGCGATAAAGGAAGAATGTGCATTTGTTTGGTGTTTGACATTAACTTTCAGTGAGGTTCTATTTATCAACGGTCCGTATAAAGGCATGAAAGTTGGGGATTGGATTCAGTTTAATGTGCAGTAAGTTATCGAGCTTTACTGTGATATAGAAATCACAAGAATTTATGAATAAATTTCTGGATATGCAATCCAAACATTAGTCTTACAGCATTTTTGTTTTCAAATTATCCATTCGACTAAAATTAGGTAATGAGAAATAGTAGTTGATCAAGTTGAAAGTTTTGCCTTTGCTTCTGTATCCATATTGATGGAATAAGTGGAAGAGGCTATCAGCTGGTCAGTTGAACTGTGACTTAATCTTGATATTTCCAATCATATTTAATTTGACTAAGTTGCTAAACAGCCGACACATATGCAGTCATTACTCATGACTTAAACTTACAAATAAAGTTGAAATTGGCGGTTTTAGGGTGATCAAACGACCACATTTTGGTTGTTATTTATTGGGCAACGTTTTCAAATTCATTCCACCATTGCTTCCATCCAGACCTTTTAACAGCACAGTTATGGTTAGTGCGATGTATAAATTTGTTGAACTGGAATTTTCAATTGTTATATATTCGTCTACAACAAATGCATGCAGCTTGAAAAATCGAATGGAGAGAATGCTTGTAATGCATGAATAGTTTTTATGAACAAGCCGGACTAAATGAAATTCTCTAAAGAATTGCTAATCTTTGATATTCTTGAATTATGTGTGAAATTCAGTGTAGATTTTCAAGAAAATTGATATTAGTAGTTCATTTCTTTCAGTGAATTATGCAACAAACAATATTACACTTGTTTACATATTCATTTGTATTCTCTTCTGCTGTATCTAAAACAGTGATTCAGACATGATTTTGAATGTGTGTGACTTTTTTATGTAATAGTTTATATTCATTTAGCATGCGCAGATGTAAACGATTTTAATTTCAGGTCAGTATAACTGTAGATGTCGTAACAGATGAGATCGAATACTTCCCAACTGGTGAAATAACAGTTGATACTCAAAGACTTGGAATTGTCGAGTTCAGAAACGGAGAGTTTCGACATGATTTCTGTGGTAAGCGGCTGCACCTAGCTGTATATAAAGATGTTCCCTCAAAACATACAGGTGCTGTTTGGCGAGTGTTTGCTATATCAAACGAGGTCCTTATTCTTGAATTAAATTTTTTCTTTAAATTAATAAACAGCGCTCTATGTTGTTTTAGGTAGAAAAAAAAAACTATAATTTTTGATGAGAAGTGATCTGTATACATTTTAAGCAGGAAATTTATATTCAGTCGACTAGCTGGTGGTTGAATCTCGGCAAGTCGGCAGAGCCGGGAAATTATATACATATGACGAATAATTACTTTATGTCACTTCTTATCATGGATCATGATATCCGGTCGACCCGCGCTTATCCTTATAGTTCTAACACGCGTATCGACATTGATCTCTATGTTCTCATTCGCGACGACTTCTTGAACCATGGCTTCGCATGCGCGGAAATGCTTTAAGACCATACTTCTTGCAGATCACTAAATGAATACATCGCAGAATCTCATCGTGTGTTCTAGTATAGTTATGATATAACATTTTCTCACACTGCGTTGCTAGATGGTCACCGTCTTCATACGTTCCCTACAATGTTGGCACATACTTTTCTCAGCTCCAAACATATTTCTATCTTGGAGGTTACAGTATCGTGTCCCATCTTGCGGATAGTACTTCCGTATCGCAGCCATTTTGATGAATCAGCTATGGACGTGATGTTATTCGTTTGCATCTTGTATAGCTTTGCTAATGGGTTTTCTTTTCTATTTCGCTATACAAGAACGCCTTCTGGGCTGCTAATACGTTTTCAACGGTAGGATTTTCTGCGAGGTTGTACGTAGTCTTTAGATAGAGCACAATAATTTGCCAAGTACGTATTGTGAGCCTTTTCCTACTTCAGAATCTGCCTTTATGGTACAAATGGGTAAGATATCTACATGAACATTATGAAGTTGGAGAAGCTTAAGCTCACTCTTTTCTCAACATTATTAAGTCCACGTCCTAGCTCGTCCCTTGTCAGGTACAGTTTCTCTAAACATACAGATTGACTGTGAATTCCGTACCTATTAAGTAATTGCTTGATATCGTGGTCTTTGAAGTCTTCTGGTTCCAGTTTGAGTGTCATATTGTAATAATTTATTAAACTTACGGTGTGCTCATTTACTGCCTAAGTAAAGTTCTTGCTATTTAATGCAGTTTTGCTCATTATTACTAATATCTGTGCTAATACTTTATCGTCGCTTTCACGGTAGGTGCGGTATTCCAAGGCTTTTATACTCTTGAGCTCCTTCTAAAAGCACTGCTTTTTCGGCGTATACCTTAGAATTTATCTATATTCTTACTGTTTCAAAGAACTTTTGGACTTCTTTGGCTATAGTTTTCATGATATTCTGGTCCGTTGCAGGAGTAGTTCAAATCAACAAATAATAAATAGTTCGCTACATGCATTCCTTGATCGGAGGAAATCCCCTCTTTGGGGATCTGGTCCTTGCATTAAACGAATAGCAGCGGAGAAAAGCTTTCACCTTCAGGAATTCCTCGTTCCATTTTTTCCCCCCAATATAATTTCTCCATTTTATCAGAAACCTGTCGATTCAAGCAAACATCAGTTAGTTGTGATTAACTCAAACTAACGCTTTTTTAATGTCGCACCGCGTAGTATATAGCTGGTTTCCGTACTCCTCTGCATACGAAGGTTCAAAAGTGTCCGTTTTTTTGCTTCATTAACCTGGCCAACGTTTCCTAATTAATTGTTTGCAAGCATTCCTCTCGGGCAACATCAACAGTATGGGTCGTGTCGCACATTTCGTTGTCAACTTGAAAAGGTTTGACATGCAAATCATTGGCTTGACTACCTTTTGTAATAAGGTCGGCAGTAATTTGTAGAATCATGGTTCTGTTTCTCCCTATTCAGATAAATCCATCTTATTACTTTATGCAGGTCTGGATGCAAGGAGGTTCATTCTTAATAAAGAAGTTATATACTCCATCGAAACCTGCCACCTTCCAGTTGGGTAAATAAGAAATTTTTTTCTTAAATTCGACTTTAGATGAGAGAGATCATGCACTTCATAATCTGGAACAAATTCATCAAAATATTCGTTGTGCCCGATATCGTCATCCTTTCCCATCCTTGTTTTTCCTCTATACATTATGACTTACAGGCTGTTCTTTGTCATATTTCTATAGAAGCGTCTTCTGAAAAGCTCAGATTTGGCATTTTGAATTTTAGAAACATACCCGGGACTTCTAACTTTTAATTTTTCCAATAAGAGACTTGGATATAAGTCTCTTTATTGGAAAAAGGTTCTAACGAGAACTAAGAGCATTATCTTTGAGAGATTGTCAAAGAAATTAGGGATAAAAATAAATAGTTGATGCTTATGTTATAATTTTAGAAACATATGAAAAATGATCTGTATTCATATTCAAATGAGAATCATTGGAGCGAAAAGGAAGGTTGTGAATCGAAATATATTTCTTGCAGAGAATTAGAACAGGTTAATGTTTGGTTTTTCATTCTATATTATTGAGTACAATATCAAACAAAAAAAAATCGACTCGAATCCGCTTTTTATTTTTGTTCCAGTAGCATATATTCTAAATAATATTTGGCTCACACCATATTAGACTAATTAGTTACAGTAAGATAACATAACAGTTGTCTAAATAATATTTGTCAGCGTTATAAAAAAATGTTCAATCTTTTGTAGCTTATATGATTTTGCTCTGAGAAATTAGAAGATCGTAGAACATAGACATATGCAGGATGTATACGATATTTTAAAAAAAACGGTTTAGCTTTGAATTCCAATGAACATTGTTTATTTTTCATCACTTTTTGTGTAAGAAAATCGCATTTCAGGATGCCCTTGCCGATACCTGTTCAGGTTAGTTGTTTGAAGAAGCAAAACTTCCGTAATTGTTTTAAAAAAATACATTAGAAACTATTTTTTCTAACTAGCTGAGCAAATACATAATTTAGATCAACTCATTTAACGCAATGTAATGCGGGTTTTCAGCGGTATGTTGAATAATTGATTGATTTTATTTTTAAATACCAGATAGTCCTTATGATGATGAAATATTCACCGTCGATGTGACATCATTAGAAGAAGTAAAAGAACATGATCCGCTGATAGAACCGTGTTTTGGTTGCCGAGATTTACCGGAAACTAGTTCATCGGTTTATTCAGATTTCATCTCTCTGTCAAGCAATCAAGGTCTCTTTTTTTTGCATTTTGGATTAATGATTACGCATTTCAGCTTTTTCGTTTAGAATAAGTCATATTATACTTACGTAACATAGGAAGTATCCATTAATATATTAAAAAAATAAAAAGAATTCAGAAATAAATATTTATTAATTTGAAATGTAAAGTTTTTCTCTTATATATCTTTTTGAAGTCACTGAGCGAGAAATGGAGAAAGAACTGTCTAGGAGAGAGTTCTCGGATATACACAGTGATCGCTTATCGGGGTTCAGTGATGTAGAAGCAGTTGAACAGTACGATGGTGAGGTTTTCAAAAGTTTCTTATAGAAAATTAGAATCTTCAGTCAGGTGATTTGTTTTACAATTTACAACCTTTTTTATTGCAGTCAGTCATCAACTTTTTTCAAATGAGATATCGGCAGAAAAGCAGGCAGAAGATATGCAGGATAGAACGTTAGAATTCTGGAACAAAATTTGGGAAACCCAAGAAGTTCAGCGAGAGATCGCAGCGGCGGATGCAGAGTATATTTTTTCTATTGTGTCAACTTCATTGTTACTGATTATGCTACTGCTTTATCAATAATCCATATAAATTATCAGCTTTAATCCATATAAATTATTTGTAGCTTATATAATGGTATCGTGGACATGATGTCGAAGCTTTCTACTCATAATTGAATAAAATGATTCAAAGCAGTCAGATAATTTTCACCTTAAAATTTCCTTGATGATGTGATATAATTTGTTTTTTACAGTATTTTCCTGTATATATTTTAACTGATTTGATGTAATCGAAAACTCTAATGAACTTGCTATTAAGTTTGTTAAAACCATTTTTTCATACATTTATCTCTAATTGTTGTTAATTAAACTCTTAATTTCACTTTGGCGTGAAATAAATTTTCAGCTTTTTATTGATGCTCTAACAATTAACCTTAAAGAAATTTGTATATATCAAATATTTACGGTACAAAATGTGATAATATATTCATGTGATTTGCTTACTTCTAATTTAAATGTTTCCGAACTCCATGTAAAGATAAATAGATGTTACAAGTAAAAATTGGAAATGGGTTTTTATTTTTGTTACTCTATTCTGATTTAAATGCTGATATTAATGACGTAAATACCAAGTTTTGTTTTTAAATTATCTTGTGGAGTGAGAAGTATTTTTCTGTACATTCAAAGGATTAAGTTTTGTTTAATGATGTTAATCTGGAATATAAACGATTAATAACTGTGTATGTCAAGTAGTTATGAACATATTATCTGTATAAAATTATGGTGAGAGATGGCAAAAAGAACATTGCAGAAACATATAAGCAAAGGATTAAATTTGATCATGTTTGAGTATCCAGGTTTCATTTTCTCTTATCGACCGAATCTGCAATATATTTATTGGTAGTAACAAAATTTCAATGCTCTGGATTTTTTCTAATTTGAGAGAAGCATACTCTTGGTGGTATTGCGGATCACTAACCATTATCTAGTGGGTTTTTGGCTAACTACCTCAGTTGGTAATTAATTCTTTGGAACATCTCTGATAAAGTGTTAAGAATTCGTGACTTTATTGGTGTTAATGAATATTAATTAAATTTAAAAGTAAGCGGCTACGAAGTTTCTTTTTAAGTATCTGTCCGAAGGGATTAAGGCTGTTCTCAAATTTTCGGTTCAAAGATACTTTATTAAGGCATTGACATTTATGTTAGTTTCAATTTAAAATTTAAAGAAGCTGTTATTTTGGTACGAAGGTTATTTGTTGAAGAATTATCAGAATTGTCACTATTACTAACTCATTCTGTACTAGTTATGTTGTATTTACACTATTTGTTATTTAAAATTTAAGTTTTAAATGAAAACCTAAATTTGAAAGTATTATTGTAAAAGATCTCACCGCATGTATGCAGATTTTCGCTTGACTTGATCGTGAATCTCTTCATTATTGTAATTTGATAACCTTTTGCCAAATCTTAAAAAAGCACTGTTATTTAATTGTTTGAAATCTTTGATAAGTTTTATGAAAATCAAGACTTTTTGAAATTTATCAAAACTTTGATTACCTTACCGCGATTTTTAATCACATATTACTGTTGTATTAATCATAAATGTTGATCAGTCTAATCAGAGCTTGTTTTAAACTATCATCGATAGAATTTTATCTATATATTTATTTAGATATTAGCTAGTATAAATTAGCATTAGGTTCATTTTTTTATTTTTTATTTTTTTATAAACATTTTTATGATTTTCATTTAAATTTCAATTTGTTGCAGTTTATTTTATGCATTTATTATGTCTACAAATGTAAAAAAAAACCCAAACACTTTTTTTGCTCATTTTTTTCTTGCAGTATATTTCTTGATTTTCAGATTTTTATTTATTTTGTATATTTTTTTAAAGCATTTATTATCCATTTCAGTAATTTAATTTTAGGATGTGGAATTCACTTTTAGATTTCATTCTACTTCACGTGAACTAATTTACGTTTGATGTCATCATTAAAATTAAGCGTAATACTTTTTAAAATCTAAAATATTGATTGAACGATGCAAAAATTTGTACAAAAATTTTGATCAAATAATAAAAATTACGTGTAATCTTGATCAAATCAAGCAATACCTCATATAAGCACTTTTACGTTTTGCCATTGCAGATAAATCAGTTCGAGGAAGAGCGTGATATGATCGTCCGAAACGCATATACGCTGATTTTCGCTTCTCAACAGCATGTTCTAAAATTTTGCTCATACTATTTTTATCAAGTTAAGACTGATAAAATATTAGCTTAATTATATCTGCAAAAGATTAAATCATTAAGTAATTATTGTATTCTGAAATATTAATTTAATTAACTGAATTATTTTGGAAAGTGAATAAAATTACCGTAGCACAACTTGTTCAAAAGATGGAGTTGACATAGTACACGCAAGTCTTCTTCAGTAATTTCAGACTCGTTTTCATTCATCAAAATACACTCTCCAATTTTTAAACCACCAAAAATTATCATTGTTATCAATATTGGTGATAGCATTGATACCATTGATAATTTTTATTTGAAATTTATCTGAACTAAAATTCAAAAATTTGTTGAAGCGAAAAAAATTCGCATTTGATTATATACGCGGATGATATTCAGAAGTAAATTATTACTGGCAGAATTAAAAACTTTAAAAATTTGATACAAAATTATTAACAATTTCTGGTATTTATAATTTTTTTTATTAAGGATAAGCATATTTTTGAGAGATATTTATTTATTTATTTATTTGCTTGATCAATTATTTATCTATTTGCTTACTTATTTATTTATTTACTTGCTATAATGATAAATTAACTGGTTATCCTTTGAGATATAAATAAATAATATAACAGGCTAAAAAAGTTTGTAAAATATAAAAAGTTATTAAAAAATTAAAAAAAACGTTTTAAATTTATATTTTAGATGAGATTAAGTAAAAAGGAAAAAACTGAAAAAATAGGAATTAAATTTATTTAAACGTTTAATCTGAAAAAGAGTTTATTTTTTTATAAATCAAATATAAATAATTATTTGAAATAACTGTTATTATTATAACTTACAATTTGACATATATTTCCATGCACGGCCTTTACTGAATAATAACCATTATCATAAGTAATTTCTTTTGAGAGAAAAAAAATGAACTATGACTTTTGACTTGGTACTGATTGATCTAAGTATATTGAGCTCAAATTTAAAATCTCATACGTAAACTTGCGTCAAAAAACGTGTGTTCGTACATGATTGGAAAAATTTGTGGAAATGTATATTTATATGAATTTCTAAAAATCTTTAATTTTTACCCAGTCAAAATTACTTTAAATTATGACAAGTTATGTCAATTAATTAATTTTAAATTTCCATATTTAAAAGAGTGATATTTTAAAATTTTAGACAAATAATTTAAAGTATAAAAAACAAATTAATTTCAAATGATTTAAAGGCATATTCAAGTTATTGTTAACAAGTATGGATAAAGTTGCATGAATTTTGAATTACTCAAATACTGCTTGACTTTTATACTCAAATTCATTCTTACTACTTAAAAATAATCATTAAAATTGGCTCGTGTAAAAGCCATATTTTCGTTAAAATAGGAACAAATTTGTTGGCAATTACTGATACAAAATGTAGTTTTCATTACTTATCCAAAGTTATTGTTTTTTCCATAAAATTTTTTTCTTTCTATTACCCAATTTGATTCTAATACTAATTGATCAGAAGACGTGAGCGTAAACGTAATTAATTCATAAGAAGACGTAAACGTGATAATACTGAACTTGACTATATTTGTCTACAAACAGTGATCACATCACTATTTTTAGTTACATGTAGCCAAGTAAAACAGCCCGTGTTTGGCTTTGTAAATTAAAACCACTTGTAATAAGTATATTTATTTTTAATTACTAAATTTGTAAATAAATGTTTAAAATGTATTTATACAAAAGTGGAAGTGAATTTTGTTAAACCTAAAAAGTTTAAAAATTAAATCGTTTCACGTTACTTTTATTTACAACTTACCTTTTGAATTTTTTTCATCACTTTTTTAAAAATAATTCTTGTTTTCTTTTCCTAAATACAAATTTTAATTTTTAAAAAATTTAAAAAGAAATTTTATTAACAAAAAACCTTTTTTAATTAAAAAATTTTTAAAACGATCACTCTAATTTTAAATAAATAAATATAAAATTGATAACTTATGATTTAAAGAAAAAAGATTAGATAATGAAAATCATAAATAAAGTTTGATTAAGCAATAATTTTTGTTGCTTTTACTGTTTAAAAATAAAATGACTAAGTTATTTGTACTTCAAAGTTTTATAACCAACTGATAACTTTTGCTAAATTCTTTTATTAAATTAAAAATTATTAATTTTATTACTTTTAAAGTAATCAAAAATTTTCATCTACGCAAAAACATAAAATAAAAATGGTTTTAATTATTTTTTCATTAAATAAAAAGCAAATAAGTTTTATTAAACAAAAAAATTTGAAAAAGCTTTAGAGTAATTATTACATCACAAATTTGAATGCAATGTAGCATTGAAAATTTGCATATTTGATTTTGAACATTTTTATTTATATTCAAATTTAGTAAAGAAAGTCATTAAAAGAATTGCTTTCGTATAATATGGTAATTTTAAAAAAAATTGTTTTTTTTGCATAATATTTTACTGAGAATAAATTTGTTAATTAATTTCAGTTTTACAAAATTTAAATTTATAAAAAGTAAATTTATTGTTTTTAATTTGTCATAAAAATAAAAGTTACTAATTTACCTTTGCGTAAAAATTAAAAATTATCACTTTTAACTTTGCGTAATAATTGCTAATGCCTGCAGTCGAAGAATTTGTATTATTTTAAAATAAGAGCAATCATAACAATGTTCGGAAAATGCTTAATTTTTTAATAATTTTGATGAATTTATAAATTTTTATAAAATTTTTCTACGAGGATATTTCAAATTTTTACATAAATTTATTTCTTCAAATTTTATGTAAATGTTTAATAGCTAATAATTTTCAAAATTACTTCAAAATACTGTTATTAGTTTAAATACTTCCAATTTATGTAATGTATTATAATAATTGCAAGAAAATTATTAATCTCATATATGCAAATTTTATGAAACGTTTAAAAAATCTCGAAAATTAAAAAAATAAAAATTTAAATAATAATTAATAACTTGTGCAAAAAAAATTACCAAGAAAAGAAATAAAAAATCTGAAATAAGAATAAAAAGTTAAACAATTCATATTGAAATCTAATTTTTCACAAAAAATTTCATATTATTCAACAAATATTGTAGACAAATAATTTTAAAATTATTATAATTATAATTATTATATGCATTAAAAATTACTGACAAAAACTTTAATACATAAAAATTTTTTGTAAAATACAGTAAAACTTTTGAAAAATCAAGCAGTAGTAATTTGATATTTTGCATTGATTTCTGATTTTATGTAACAATTTAAAACAATTAAATTCACAAATGATATTTGAGTATTTCAGTTTACAAGTTTATTATAAGATATTTTTTCAATTTTCTCGCAAATCCTATATATTTTCTGAAAAAATTTTGATCACTTTTAATTATTATTCAAAATGTAAAATGTAATTGACGAATTACAAAATATTTATAATAATTATTTTTATCAAAATATTAAAAACTAAAAAACAGTGAAAAATAACTTTACTTCTAACGCAAATAACTATTAGCAATGTGCATGTCAATTTTGTTAGTGGTTTAGCAAATTTATTCAGGAATATGCATTGCACAAATTTTAAATTATTTCAAATTTTAAAATATTGGCTTATTGATTTATTTAATCCATCAAATAACATACTTAATTGAAAAATGAAAAAATTTTCAGTAATAAATTGTAATTTTACAATATTACTTCTTTTTAAATATAAAATTTTTAATAATTTTTAAAATACTGTAATAGATTAATTAATTGAGGTTTATTAATGATAGTTATTTCTGTACATAACAATTCTGCAGTTTTAAGAGGGAACAAAATTTTTGTAAAATTTTGAAAGTATGCCTTTGTTTTCTGTACTGATCAAATTATCAGTAGTAAGTAAAAAAGAAAAAATAATAAATAAATTTAGCAAATAAGTAAAAAATACTTGAAACTGATCATTGATGCAACTAAACATTAAATTATGAAAAAAATGGCAATGAAAACAATCATATTACCTATTATTACTGCAAATAACTTCTAAAGTAATAAAACTTTACAACTTTAAAAATAGAAAGTATTCAAAAGCAGTAATTGTGGTCTAAATTAAAGTGAAAATATGAGGATAAAAACGTGAAAATATCCAAAAAGTACGTAAATTTTTAAAAAAACAAGTAAATAGGTATGGCATGGGTTAACTTGCACATAAATTAGTTCACAACGCTTAAAAGGTAAGCTAATATTGTTCAGCTTCATTCGATATGCATGAATATTTTTGTTATTTAAGTAAATGATAGCAAATATTTTTTTGCCAAAAAAACAAAAGAAAATTCCGTTAAAGCTTTCATTTCGATTAAAGTAGTTTTTTAATAATTAATGAAAAAGCTAAAAAATGAAGTAAAGGATGAAAAATTATTTTTTTTCAAGTTTCTGTAGATTTTTGATCATCATACAAATAAATTATTGCGCATATTGACAATTAGCATTTTTGGATAAAAGTTGTTA